GTGTGTTGTGAACCCTAATTTATTTAGTGGTTGTATACATAGATATTAGTTAGTAATTTTAATTTTGCTAATTAATTGAGCTTTAGTGTTGAATATTATTTGAGTGAGAACCCTTATTGTGTATTTGTGGTTTGACTTTCACACCTATAATTGGTTTGATTTATTATAACGGTGTTAAATACATTTTAATTAATTTCGCTCTTATTTTTGCGGATTAGTCGTGGTATTTGAGTTTTAAATATGGTTGTGACTACGAGTACGACGTCTGTGCTGGGCGGTACGCCTATTACGTCTGCTGTTGTTACAACTAGTTCTGGGGTTAGCTCCGAACTGTCGGTGATGACGACGTCGTCATTGTGGCCTGCGTCTTCACCTGTTTGGCCGACTATTTCATCGGTCGTGGGTACGACGGTGACAACATCTCTGACCTATTCCGCGCCAGCGACTATGTCCTTGGGGTCGCAGCCCCGGGACGGTCGCGTGGGTTGGATCTATGACCTCTCGAAAGGGGAGCTCATGAGAACGATGGACCAGTATGGTTTGGTGACCACTGGTACTTCTGCGGAATTACGGCAGCGATTCTCGTCGTTTTGGAAGCAGCGGAATGCCCGTCGGTATAGCGATGATAGGCTGTGTACAGCTGGGGCTGCTGCACCGACATATTTACCGCCGGCTACTACAACTGTGGAGCTTCCTGACCCCCTGAGAACCGTACCTCAGGTACTGGGTAATACGGGATCGGGCCAAATAGAGATAGGGGAACTTAGCAGGGAGTTAGAGGCGGTCAAAGAGATTCTTGGGTTGTCTTTGGAGACTGATACCCGGACTCTTCGAGAACAACTTGCATTGGTGGTGCGACAGGCGAGGGGCTCGCCGAGAAATGAGGTCGGCTATGGGTTCGGGAGACCCGCCAACCCTACGTCCCCTGTTGTGGCTGCTCCAATGCCTACCTTTGGGTTACCTAGTAGACCCGAGGGATGGCAGCGGCCCAATGATAGTTCTGAGAGACCAGCCCGGCCTTCTAGCTTGGAGCTGCCTCGAGGCTCGGATATGCTCTCAAATGAGGCCAGCAGGGTGGAGCCAAAGGATTGCTCCAGAGTATGCAACATGGTACGGAAGTGGGGTTTAAGGTTTGATGGCCGACGAGACCCTGTGTCGTTCCTGGAGCGCCTTGAAGAGCTGATGGTCTCGTACTCTATAAAATCAGAGGACCTGCTCAGAGCGCTGCCGGAGCTGTTGCAAGGCTCAGCGCTTCTATGGTACAGGAATTGCAAGGAGCTCCTGTATTCATTCGAAGCTTTTCGGCATCAATTTGAGATCCAGTTCCTTCCACCTGGTTATCAGAGGAATTTGGATGAGGAGATCCGGAAAAGGACGCAGGGTGAGACCGAACACTTCCGGGACTACGTTGTTGCCATAAATACCTTGCTTAGGCGTAGCGGTACGTTGTCGGAGCATGGTAGATTAGACTTAATCTACAGCAACATGCGTCCGGAATACAAACTCATGGTACGCCGGCGTGACTTCCGCAATCTGGCCGAGATGATTGAGTTGGCTGAAGATTATGAGGCCTATTTGCGAGAGAAGGCCGCCTTCCGACCTCCTCCTTCACCAAACGTAGCGCTGGTTTTGGAAACCGCCTATGTTCCCAAGAAGAAGGCTGAGAAATATTATGAAACGGCCGCGGTTGAAAGACATTATTTTCAGAGACCATCTCTTGAGGATAAGTCGATTGGACAGCGAGTAGATTTTGACTCTAACCGGGTCCGTGAACAAAGGCCCGTAATGACTAGGGAAGTTGCAGATGGTGCAAAGGATGTACGTTGTTTTAGGTGCCAGGAGATTGGTCACTTTGCCAGAGGCTGTGGCAAACTGAGGACCGTCTCCTGTTTTGGGTGTGGAAAACCCGGTCTTACTGTGAACCAGTGTGGATGTCGTGAGGGAAACGGCAGGCCAGCTCAGACATCAGGAGGTCAACTGGGCAAGGCCACCGAAAACGAACGACCTCAGAAGAGTGGTCCGAGTGGCTCGGAAAACTAAACAGCCTGGTTGGTGGAGTAGACGAGAAACGGCTGGTTTCGGAGACAAGGCCCTTTGTTGAAGTTGTGCTGATGGGCAGCGTTTTTAAGGCGTTATTGGACACTGGGTCCGTAGTTAACCTGGTTGGGCGAGGAGTCGCCGAACATCTTCGACGCCAGGGGATTGAGCCTTGTAAGATTACCGCTCCTCTAAGGATGGCAGATGGGACACAGTCAACGGCCGAGTATTCGTTTCGGCTAGCAGGAGAAGCTGCGGGAAGACGGTGGATAGGAGATGCCTTGTATGTCCCCACTCTCACCACGGACATGATTCTGAGTATGGATGTCATCCGAGACCTCGGATTGGTGACATGTGGGACAGAGGTAGTAAGAATGGGCGTGGGTGATGACTGTTCTGGCCAAGGTGGCCGCATGGACAGTGTCAAAATTGGTGACGAAGACCCCGAAGGCCCTTGCAATGGAAATCCCCGTCTGGTTCCTGATGACAAATCATTCAGCACCATGTTGGCTGGTAGTGGCGAGTAGAAGAGTTTTTCTTTGTTTTAAGTTTGAGACCTGTGGTGTAGGGTTCACCATTGGGTTAGGGGTTGGAGTATTTTGTTTTGGCCGGAGTTTAAAGATTTTTTTTCTTTTTGGCCGTTTTCTTTTTTTTTCATCCCGATGTAAGTGGGGGATGTAACGAGTTATTTTCCCTAGGGGGGTATATTTTCGCTATTTGGCCGCGCACCGATTGTAGAGGTAAGCAAGCGGCGGCGGCGAACCTGGCTAGCGCCCTTTGACCCGGCTTATCAGTTCGGATAAGCTTGGGTATCCTGGGACTACCGGATAGTCGAGAAAGGACATTCTAGTGGTGGATCTCGGACAGTCAAGAAGTGAGTGTTGGTGTCCTGTGCCTGTGGAGACGTCCAGTGGTGTACGTGACAGTGGTGTCGGGGTATGCTGGTGGTGTGATCGCGCCGAGTGTTGGTGTAAGTTGGGTACTGACCCACTTGTGGTGAGTGGACGACTTGATATTATTCGTTTGATAATATTAATATCTGGTTTTATTGCGAGAGTTAGAGTTGTAACCGTGCTGGTCAAAGCCTGACGGTAGTTAGGATTTATATTAGTCAGGAATAATATTAAAGTGTATTCCTGACGGTTCTGGGCAGGTGCTAGTGCGCAAATAATATAATTTATTGACTGTAGTAGTTATTATTTTGCGTTGTACCAAGAGTTAGCTATATTACTAATAACTCTGAGGCCCGACAAACCTAGGCTGCACGATTTAGCGTGCGTAGTTGGAAGCACGAGGCCAGTAGGCTAGTAGCATTGACTTTATATCTCTAGCTAATATTATTAGCCTATTAACAGAAGCCCAGCTAAGCAATATAACGTTGATATAGTAGCCGTAGTTGTAGTAACAGTAGGGTTGGTATTGATTAATCATTTAATTATTTTAATTTAACCTGAACAGCTTGCTTAGTAATCCAACACGTTAGCTTGGTAGCTTGGATAGCGGAGTACCGGCTATCAGATAAGATATTTATCTAGTGTTTGGAACGTAGTTAATATTTATTTATCTGCTACTAAGTAGCTCAATATTTTAATAGTGCAATTGCCATTTAGTTTTGCTTGTTTGGCTTGGTATTTATTGAGACCAGCTACTAGTGGTGTAGTCACTCTACCTATAGTGTACTTGTATATTATTACGTGGTACGATTATTGAGTGAACTGTTTGATTCTTAGCTTGGGCATTAGAGTTGTGTATTGCAGTTTAGTGGCCTAGTAGACCCCGCCTGGTGATAACACGCGTTGTGGTTTTTATTGGCAAGTCGTCGTGTAACTCACCGTGTTTTAGGCACTCTGGGCTTAACTATTGGATAGTTAGGACGAAGCCCGAGTTGCGTAGTCAGCAACGACCCCCTAGGAGTGTGGAGAATCGGCGTAGGTCTGGTAGTGATTATTGCACGTTTGTTGTGGTGACTTGTTTTTGACTTGTTCACAGTGCCCGTGTATGAGCCAGTCCTATACCGGTTAGACCCGGCTTTTGGCCTAGTGGTTTCCCTGACCTTATCGCAGACCCTGGAACTTTACCCAGCCATTGTAGGCTGAGCTATCCCCGGCAAACGGTTGCGACTGCACTGCACTTTTAATATTTTTTTTTCAGTGCAGAAAGTAGCGTCGCAATGTAATGCTATAGGGCTTACTATACACACAATCCTTTATTACTATATAAAGAAGGTCTGGTGAAAATTTGAATACTATAAGTATAGTACTAACGGAGTTATTCAAACTTTTGTACAATAATAACCTAAAAAACACGGTATTGAGATAATCGCAGGTGATGTAACAGGTGGTTGGCAGGAGAAAAATTTTCATAACTACACTAATTTATTATTTTATATTATATATAAAAATAGCAAAGTACTTATTTTGTTTTACATAAATGTACCCTACTTTATACCTTCATAATACATAATTATGATACACAATTAAAAGTGTACATATCAGGAACAAAAAAAATAGTTCAAAATTTTGTTAAATTGCTGGTTGCGGCGTTTTATATTTTATTTTTTTTATACTAGAAGGAGTTGTCAGATTGGCAAACAATTTTAGCTAAATGTTCACATTTAAATGACCTATCTAAAAATGCAACTTTTGGAAAATGTAAAAAAATTTTAAATATGGCCTATAGATAGTGGCGTATCCCCTTAAAAGAACCCACAGTAAAGTAAATTTCAACCAGAGGAAGTTAGGTTTATTAGGAAATTGAAATAGCTGGTGGCCTAGGCCTACAATTAATCTGTTAGACTTTCAATCAACAAGCATGTAAATTTAGTGTTTTTGTTCAGTTTTCAATTCAACCATTTTACATAGTATCCTAAATTGAAACCTATTGCCCACATAAGTGTCTGATTCCAATTATGGTATTCAGTAACAATTATAATGATCAACAATATGGCTAAGGTTGAAACTCACTGAAGTCATCGTCCTGGTGTACTTTGTCCATGTCCTCTACCTCGTCATTGTGAGGCGTGTGATGTTTCCTCTTCTTGGATCGCGAACTGCCGTGATGGTGACTCGAACTAGCTTCTCCTTCTGGCTGATACATCCGACTGATGGATAACATTCCTGCGATCGCTTCTCTGGTTGAAGGCGAGGTTCTACCACTCCTATGCAATAGAAAGCCATGTGACTTTACAAATACAGAAGAATCTTTATTGGCTGATCTTCACTTATCCTAGCCTCCCTGGTTGTAGCCTACTGCTGCACCCTTATAATATTTTTGCCCTCCATGGTCTACTCATTATACCTGCAAATCTCTTTGTTACCACTGTCAGAGTGGGAACATAAACCTAATACTGAGTAGAGGAATATTGCTTCATCTTATTTTCTACAGTTACAGTTGTGGTGCTTTTACATTGTCTGTTATTTTTTTATTTTATTTATGACGATGGCTTCAGAACGGAAGAAAACAGGTTGCCATGAAGATAAATCCTTTACCACCACACTTTGAGTCACTGGCCTTGAATTAGATTTCTTTTTTCTTTTTTTACCTTAGATACAGTTTTATATTTCTTAGTATGAAATGTTAGTGTACAAAACCATCTGTTGCTATGAATAAATTAATATGGTAGTTTGGCTTTCATTCATTAAACCACCATAAATAAGTTTACACCAATAATAATAATATTTAAAAATTACAATGAAAATTGTTTGTAAAAGTCAGTCAAACTTACTCAATATCTTCTATTCGTGGACTTCCTTCTCTAGTATATGCAGACGCTTTTAAAAGTTCATCTATACCATTTTTTGGCAAATTAGAAGTGACATCGACCGAGTTTAGATTGTCTGTTTTGATGCCTTTTAGATTCATCAGAAGATTATCTGAAAGTCAGGATCAATAATAATTAATTATTTAAAAAAATAATTAATGATAATTATTAATCAAAGAGAAAGAGTAATAGCCTAAAATTAAATCTTACATTTATAAAGGGTGTTTTTTTTTTAATTGCAGCCAAAATAATTAAAACTACCATGAGACACTTTTTGATGACAAAACCCGTTTTGATGTTGGTATTAGTGATGTGTCAAAACCGAATCTCAAATCTCAAAACCATCAAAACTTGGTTTCGAGATTCGATCACCAAGTTTCAAGATTCAAAAGTTTTGAAGTTGAAGATTTTGGCAGTTTTATTTTTGAAACTGCTGAATTTTTTTGTGCCATTGTTATTGTTTTCAACGCTGTTTCCAAACAAGCTGGTAGCAACAGAGCAAACATCACCATTAACAGTAATGAAACAAGTAAATTTTATTCTGGACTTCAAAAGGTATCTTAAATACTATAACTGGTACAATTCAGTTTCACATCAATATTTACTAAACACAAAGAAATATTGACCACTAAATGTTCTAATTAATCTAATAGGTATTCATGTTTATGTTGGTGTTACAAGTTTAATTTATTTGTTTTTGTTGGTTGTTTATGAAAAATTATGTTGTATTGGGTTTTAAGATTATCAGTCACATTCACATATTTATGTAATGTCACAGTCAGGAGTCGATCTCTTTCAGTTTTGATTGTATACTTAACATTTTATGATTATGTGTATTCTTTTGTAACCTTGACCTTTGTAACCAGCTAAGTAAAAAAGTTTCGCGTTTAGGTTTTGAGATTCGAGATTCGGGATTCGATTTTTTAAAGTTTCGGTTTCGGTTTTGAGATTCGAAATTTCTGGTTTTGACCATCACTAGTTGGTATCCCTGTTTTCTTTACTTCATTACCAATCAGCTGATATACATTGTTCCATAGATATCTATGACGTTTAGTGTCATTGAGAATTGTTGGAAATAAGACTCAACATGGTGTTTTCACAAGCTCCAATAGAGAATGTATTGTAGGTCTATTTTTTTTCCAACAGATTTCATTTCCTTAAATATTTGACAATTCTATTAATAGTTGATTTTTCAAGAGCTTGAATCACACCTGGAATTTAATTTCAAACCTATTTTAGTATAAAACCAATGATTTACCTTTAATGTACAATACATACTTTGAGCTTGCAAAAACCCCACGTTGAGTCTTCACAATATACTCCCAATAACACTAAAATTCATAGATAACCTAGACGTAATTGATGCATCGGTTTTTCCAAAGCATCGGGACCAAATCGATGCATCGGGATCTCAATGCATGCTGAATCAAATCAAAATTTCAATGCAAGTTTTTTGTGGTCAATTGGATATCCTAATATGGAATTAGAAGGCTATTACCGATTGTAATTTAGTAAATCTTAACCAACTTTTTAAATATCAACACAAAAAATACAGAACATAGGACCAAACATATATCTCTACAAAAAATTGTGTTTGCACAGCAAAAAGTAATTTTCCTTCCAACGCAGATCCACAAATTAAGTTGAACAGCAGATTTGTGAGGATGATTATTTGATTAAACTACTTCTGAACTATTTTAACTGCTTCGAGTGGTAAAGATAGGATGTTCCTAAATACTTAGGCCTAACTGTAACAAGCATTATTTTACAATCTCTTACTTAGATGAATTTGTTGAGACTGATTTGCCTGTGCCCACTTGGCCTTCAGGGAGGATGATGAAGTCTGTTCAACTGTGGCCGAACCTTTGCTCCATCTTTTCTTCTTGGGAGTCTCATCTATTGTTAAGCAATTGTCATCATCATCATCTGGATAATCTTCATCATCGTGGAAATCATAGACTGAATCTATCTGGTCTTTTGGGTCCCTGAAAATAAAGATAGTGATTGAAACACTTATTTTGTCTCTATTCTGTTTTAATAATGGCTTCTTTATAGGTCCATCACCACCCCCGCCTAAATTTGCCCCAACATTTTTCACAGAGAGCCATTCTTAAGCTAATTCATTGATTACTGCAATTTGGAACTGCAGGCGGTCCATTGGTCTGTTAGTATTCAATTTATATAGGACGTATGCATTTATCATCATTTGGCCGAAAATGTTGAAATTACTTTTTTCCAGTGCTTTATACACTTTCTTTCATTAAGGTAAGTAAAAAGCATCTGGTCCGTCCCATCAATGCCCCCCATGCCATGATTGTATTCGTGTACAATTTGGGGTTTGTTTTTTATTACAATTCTCCCACTTCTAAAGATGGTATAACATACATTTCTTTCAACTAGAGGTGTGCGAATATTCAAAATTTCGAATTGAATCGAATAGTAAAACTACTATTCGATTCGATTCGTTCTATCTTCAAGTATTCGATTTTTGAATAGTTCGACGGTGGTCGAATAGTTCGGACCTTTTCGAATACTTCGCATCTGGTCACATAATTAGTTGGAGCTTTGGAAAACATAAAACAAATCAAGTTGGCCAAAAAAGTGTTTCAAGTAATTAATAGTAAATTACCATTGGGCTAAAATACGAATAGTAATCAGTTTCTATCGACTATCGAGTGACAACGTTTCATTTTCAAACTATTGTGTAATCGTGACGTGAGTTTCCGATGAAATAATGTCCTCCGCCATTAGCCAAATAAACAAGGTCGGTAAAATAGTTCCGTTCTAACTTGGTTTAAAAATAAATAAAAACTGTTAAGCTGCTTCAGATTAAATAAAAATGCAATACAATATTTAATTAAAACTCACTTAGATATTTTATTATTTTTCAACATTATTAAACTCATTATGTGCTGCAAAACACTACGTTAGCATTCATCCGCCTTCATTGTTCTTGGCGATGGCGATCGGGTTCAAGTTACGTTTTGTTCTGGGATCACGGTAGACCTACATAAATCTAGCATATGACATTGATGTGTCTATTTCGAGTGAAGTAAAACTGAAAAATTGATGGCGAATAAGATACCGGAACAAATTATACTGAGTTCTCTTATACATGGTACCAAAACGCGCACCGTCACCTTTATAAACTTGAAATATGATACAAATGTTGTCTGCTAGATAGATTTGCCGTGATCCGAGAGTAAAACATAATTCGCCCTTGCTATGGTAGTCTGCTTCTATTCTTCAGCTTCTCTAGTTAGTTCTTTCTTTTTTTCTATTGCATTAGCGCAAGCTGTGTTACAAGTTACAAGACAAGAAGTTTTGAGGTTGGACTCTCTGAATAGTGTCCTTATATTTTTTAACATGAATATCCAGTTATCTACTTATTAACTGAAAACAAATTCATTACCTAGGTTTTCAGGGGATATATAATGAGGATATGACCCAAACAACTAAACCTACTGTAACAAAATTGTATGACAATACTTACAAATAATCATCCTGAAAAGAATGGTGCACAGGCGGGTTTGGGGGTAAGTTAATAAAAGGCATTTCTGCTTGTTTTGCAAGTTTCACTTTAAGTCCATTGGATTCCGCTTTAATTTTTATATGCCGTGACCGATCCATTGTTATAAACCAAGGCTTATTTTCAGCTCCAGGTTGATCAATATTTTCTTCTTTTTTTAGCTTGTTTTCACTCAGAGGGGTTGTATATGGATACATCACAGGTTTAGGTAGAGTTAATTTCAAAGGAGGTCTCACAATAGGCTCTTCTTTTATTTGCAGTTTTTTGTTCAGCACTTTCATATTTAGCTTAATAGGCTCTTTTGGTTCCATTTTCATCTGAAAGAAATTGGTAACATTAATACATACGTGCGTAGATGTTAATTAAATAACACTTAAGTAATGCTGCTACTATACATGATTATAAAACAAATAACTTTTTCATGATTTAGTAAGAAATTGATGCCATGCATATATTAAATGCATATGAAAAGATCAACAAAAGAAGAATTCCTCACATAACAATTAACGAGTATTTTATTTATATTAATGTCATCAGCAAAGATGCATTAACCAATAAGAAGTTGTAGTAATGAGAGAAAGCGTGTCAAGTCTATTTTTCGTAGAGGATCTTTTATGATAAGTGTATTGTTTAGTAATGAGCTAAGCTATGCAAAATCAATAAGTTAATTAATGCATACATTTCATATCAGTTAGTAGAGTAAAATTTTAGCCTACAATAACCCCTGAAACAGAAGTCAAATCATCAACCAACAGTAAATCTTACCATTAGTGTGGCTCATGCTAACATTTAAGTGAGTACAGTAGACTCCCTCTTATCCGGACACCTTTTAACCGGACATCGGTTTAACCGAACTACACTCAAGGGAAATGACATCTCTTTAACCGGACAATTTTTATCAGCACATTGGTTTAACCGGCCTAGATCAGCAAGAAGTGGGTGGTACTGTAACGACTATTCTCGTGGGAAAGATTTGAGACCAGTGATCACATGTCTAAATACAATGCTCTCCTAAATTTAAGTCAAATATAAATGATCAATTTTAATGAGTTTTTGGGGACGTCGGCTTAACTGGAAAACCCTTTATCTGGACTGGCCTCGGTCCCGAGGAGTCCGGATAAGAGGGAGTCTACTGTAGTAATGTATCTACAGTAGACTCCCTCTTATCTGGACTCCACGGGACCAAGGCCAATCCGGATAATGGGTTTTACGGTTAAACCGACATCCCCATAAACTTGTTATGTAACCCAAATATTTCACTTAAATTTAGGAGAGCACTGTATTTAGACACATGATCACTAATCTCAAATCTTTCCAACGAGAACAGTTGTTTCAGTACAGCCCACTTCCTGCCAATCTAGTCCGGTTAAAATGAAATCCTGATAAAAATTGTCCGGTTAAAGAGATGTCATTTCCGCCAAGTGTAATCCGGTTATACCGATGTCCAGTTAAAAGGTGTCTGGATAAGAGGGAGTGTACTGTATTTAAAACCAAAAAACAGTAAAAGTGTTCAAATGATAAAACAAAAACCGAACCATTAAAATTGCAAACGACACATTAATAATTACCAGAGATACTTGCAACATTCCTAAAGTTCAACTATTTATATCTAACATTATTTTTTAAATGCATAATTTAAGAAAGAAAAAATGAAAAAAACTATAACTGTCTTACCTGTGCTAACAGAATACTGTTTTGCGGTTGGGAATAGTCAACAAAATCTTTGTTCACTGGTTTCTTTTTCTTCCGTTTTGATTCTCTTTCAGGTTTAGGAGGATGTAGGGAGTTCAAGTATTTTTCAGCATGGCGTATTTCTTTACTCAGATCTTTTAATAGCTTGGGACCATCAATGATTGATGGAATTTCTTCTTTACGACTTTTATTTGTCTGTAAAACAAGTTTTTCCATTAAGCATGAAATTATACAGGGTGTATACTATTTTTTAAAGTGAAATTCCAGGTTTTTTCCAGGTTTTTCCTGGTTTTACAAAGTTTTTCCAGGTTCCTGCGTGAATGTGTCCCACGAGAACATTATATTAATTCCCGTGTACATGTTTAGTTCCACTTAAACTATAACCAATATGAGACTCACAGCTTAGTAGTATACATCAATATACATCCCATTAGTATATTTCTAATAGTTCTAAAGTTCAGTGTAAAAAAAATCCTTATTAAAGTAATCATCTTCATTATCATTATTCCTTAGGGCCACGAAAACATCATCTCTCTCGATAGCAGCGAAATCCTAAATATTATCTTTATTGTTCATGAAAACGTTACGTAAAAATACTTAATATCTGTCGCGGTCGTGTGTTCTCCTTTCATGGTGACGACAAACGTCATCACTGACTTACATCTCCGTAGACATTTTCGTCCTCATGTAGACATGGAAACGTCATCATTGTCATTCGCGATTGCAGCAAATCACGAAAATCTTCACAGTGATGTAGACATCATTGACACCCGCGGTCACGGCAACGTCATCTTCTTCGACCGCAATCGCGGCTAAGTTTTGAATATTTCCCGCGGAAGTGTAGACATCATCATCGAGGTCGTCTGCGATCGCGGCAAAATCACGAAAATCTTCCACGGCAGTGTAGACGTCATTTTCGTCTCCCGCGGTTACAGAAATGTCATCGTCTTCGTCCACAATGGTGGAATGATCACTAAAATCTTCCGTGGCAGTGTGGACATAATCGTCGTGTCCAGCGGACACGGAAACATAATCGTCGTCGTCCGCGATCTCGGCAAAATCACGAAAATCTTCCGCGGCAGTGTAGACCTCATCGTCATCTCCCGCGATCACGGAAACAACATCGTCGTCGTCCGCAATCGCAGCAAAGTTATGAATACTCCCCACGGCGGTGTAGACATAATCATCGTCGTCGCCCGCGACAGCGGCAAAATCAAATAAAATCTTCCACGGCAGTGTAGACCAGTAGACGTAGACGTCATTGTTGTCTCCCGCAGTCACGGAAACGTCATGGTCTTCGTCCACAATCGCAGCAAAATTACTAAAATCTTCCGTGGCAGTGTGGACGTCATCGTCGGCTCCCGCGATCACGGAAACAACATCGTCGTCGTCCGCAATCGCAGCAAAGTTATGAATCCTCGCCACGGTGGTGTAGACATAATCATCGTCATCGTCCGCGACTGCGGCAAAATCACGAAAATGTTCTGCAGCAGTGTAGACATCATCGTCGTCTCCCGCGGTCACGGAAACACCATCGTCGTCGTCCGCGATTTCGGCAAAATCATCAATATTTCCCGCGGTAGTGTAGACGTCATCATCGTTTCCCGCGGTCACGGAAACAAAATTGTCGGTCGTCCGCAATGGCGGGAAAGTTGTGAATATTCGCCGCGGCGGTGTAGACATCATCCACATCATAGTCCACGGTTGCGGCAAAATGACGAAAATCTTCCGCGGCAGTGTAGACATCATCGTCATCTCCAGCGGTCACGGAAACATCATCGTCGTTGCCCGCGATAGCGGCAACATCATCAATATTTTCCGTGTTAGTGTAGACGTCATCGTTGTCTCCCGCGGTCACGGAAACGTCAATATAGTCTTCCGCGAACAGGGCAAATGCGTGTTTTACCGGCGCTAAAATAAAAATCCCGGCCTTTTCCCGGTCCCTTCAAATTCAAGGTTTTTTCCCGGTTGGTATACACCCTGTTATCCCAACATACACTATTTATTTCATGTTGATAGTAAGGGTTTTGTATAGAAGTGTAGCAATGTCCAAAAGTATACATGATTCTTGGTTAGTGTCCTACAACATTATGTTCCAATTACAGTGCATGCAATACCGTCTCTATACATTACACCTAATTTTAATCCTAACTCTTAGCATATAACTAGTCCATATGATAAATAATTAGGAAGCGCTTAAGTTAATACTAAGTTCAAACTGATGTTGTGCACATTGAATCTGCAAAACATAGTAAACTATATAGATACTGCAAATGGAAATTGTTTTTAACAGATGATTACTAACATCAGGGTCTGGTTTTATTAGAAAGGGCTTATTGCCTGAGAATTAAGGATACAGAGAATTAAGGATACAAAGTATAGGTGGTATTTAATTAATATAAATTAGTGATGGTCGGATCCGGATATCGGACTACCGGATCCGCCGGATCCGAGCTAGAACCGGCACCGGATCGGATCCAAAAAATTCCGGATCTTGGGCTGGATCCGGTTTTGATGGATCCGATTTTATCCGATTTTCCCCGATTTTTTTTACTAACACAAAGCTGTCTGTATCCATGTAAAAGACCGGCCTTTTCCCGGTCCCTTCAAATTCAAGGTTTTTTCCCGGTTGGTATACACCCTGTTATCCCAACATACACTATTTATTTCATGTTGATAGTAAGGGTTTTGTATAGAAGTGTTGCAATGTCCAAAAGTATACATGACTCTTGGTTAGTGTCCTACAACATTATGTTCCGATGATTACTAACATCAGGGTCTGGTTTTATTAGAAAGGGCTTATTGCCTGAGAATTAAGGATACAAAGTATAGGTGGTATTTAATTAATATAAATATAAATGTGACTATCAATGTTGAGAAAGGGGCCAGTGGCCTCAAAATATTCAGTGTTCCTTTTGTGTTTTCTTCTCTGTTACTTTAGTGAAGTGGGATGCCTACAATTTCTTAAGGCAACCTCCTTACCCTGTCCTTTGTCTCCTTAACATCCGGGTCTATTGTGAAGGGAACACAGTTTAGGCTGTTATAGGACGGGAAAGTTGTTTATGATTTAACACTATTTTCAAGACAAATGTCCAGACAAATACTGGTGTTGAAGCACAATTATTAATGGGGGGGGGGGGAGGGAGTGAGAGGGATAGTTAAGAACGAAGGGAAGGGTTTGTAACTCCTGGCTAGGTTTAGTTCTGATACCTCAAATTTTTTAAACCAAGCACTGCTTAAAGTTTATGACATTGTTTGAGTTTATTTAAAAAATTGTTAACTATTTTGAATGTAAAAAAATGTATGTCAATTTGTGTAACAAAAAATAGAGTATTGCATAGTCAACTATGCAATTTGAATCTCAATATAAATTTTAGAAGTCAAAATTCTATACCTCATGATAAGGTGTTAAAAAGTACAAATACAAACATAGAAGTGTTGTCATAGTAAGATAATAGATAACTCTGAAAGAGCCAACTAGTAACCTAATTATGACAAAGCCATGTAACCTATATTATAGTTACAACATCTTACATCTCTATCCTGACTCCACTGCTTGAGGGTCACCAGCAAAGCCTTCACACCCTGTAGTAGATAAGCTGGAACTTTGGATGATTCGTCATTCAGCATTCTTAACTCTTCACACAGCTGCTTGGCAGCATACCAATTTATTGTCTCAAATGCAGGAAACCGAAATTTACCTGGAGTCCTCATTTTTTTTTCGATCTCGTAAATCCTAAAACATAAGTAAATTTACTATTTCTAAGAACAATAAAAATATGTTTGTATTTTATTCAGGGTATACCCAGAAATACACTATTTTTTTGTTTATGTAATTTTTATCCCAAAACATTATTAAATTTAATGTTTCTAAAATCAATAAAAAGGGTTTCACTTTTTTCAAGTAGGCTAATGTACCTTACAATAAATAGTTATTTGTGTAACTACTAACTAGTGTGCAAACCTGTTTACACATTATATTTTTCCTACAGTTAGGCTACTATAAAACAAAGAAATAATTTAAGAATAACAAACAGTAAACAACACGTTTTAGGTTAGGTCAAATCCAAGCGTTGAATGAAATGTTAAACAACTACACCAGCTGATCATAGTCGTTGTATCTTTAAGTGTTGCCAACCTATTTCCAAGTGTACACGGATTACGTGCATAATAAAAGCACCCTGTTTTGTGTTGTTTGGTTGGAATACTGGTGTGCGACAAAAAAAGTGTATGGCAAAAGTAGGTAAATGCAGCAATTAACAAATTTCTGTACTATAATCAGTGCAAAGAAACCCACCCTGTCAGGTGACTGTAGAAAAATATTATTGTCTTTTATTTAAGTAGGATATTTTTAGGGTGTTACTGAGTGCTATAATTATTTAGCAACTAATTAATAAACACATTGCTTTGCCTTCTCAGTAAGAAATACGGAGGGCTGAAGCAAAATGTGTCAATTCATATCCTGATATTAATGTACAGTCTCTCTCTATGGTTTGTGTTTGCATACTTGTAATGTGTAAATACAGGTTATGTAGGGCTTATGCAATATATAACAAAATAATGATACAAAACATTTTGTAAATAATTTTATCTGATTAACAATGTGATTATTAATAATCTTAATCAGCAAAACCGCTACATTTACCTGATAACAACATTCATACTTCCCAAAACATACCAGAGTAGGCTACTATCAAAATTCAAATTTGTGTACAACTACAAATACAAAATGTTTAATAGGATATGGACGAGAGGAGGACCTTGAGGATAAATGTGGGAATCTTGGAGGATCAGGCAGTTGTAGAAGCAGATCAATAGTGGCCACCCTGTAAACATTCCTAGGTTGTATATACTTTTTTTAACTAAAAACTACTAATGCTGTACATTTCTAGTTTACATTATACATAAATAGAATATAGTATACTACGTTACTAGCCCGGTAAGTGGTGTTTTACCGTGCGAGCACGACATTTTCTACGATTATAGTAAAGCTTACCGGGCGGGTAACGTACGATACTTTCCATCATACTACACAGAAAAACTAGTAGGCTTACATTTTAAACTCATAACAATTTATTTAGGACATCAATTATAATATTTTTATATTTCAGAAAATTAAATAGTCTGTTGCAATTAGCTGTTTATTTCATCAGCTGACTAAGTGCACGGTGGGTTATTTTTCCGCGTGTAGGCACGGCAAAGGGCAACTTTCCAGCCTATCAATACAGATGGAAAAGTACCTGATTCTGTGAAGTACTGTATGATGTAAAAATGTTTTCAAGTTTCTGTCAAAGTATAAATAAGTATCTGTCAAAGTATAAATAACTATCTATATATGATGTATAAGATTGTATCGAACAGGAATAAAATGTTATAAAAAATGTTAACTAAATAAAATCAAGTTGTTACAAAAATTGTAAAATTAACAAAAATACCAACACACTTTAGTTTTGAAACAAAGATAAACGCAGCAATTAATTAAAGAAGTTGATCTCAAAAAAGTGTTTAATGAGAAAAGAGAGGTACAGTAATATTAGTGAAGGTGGGTAATTCAATTTAAAACCCAATCAACTTACTGGAGCTGCATAGGGATGTTAAGACTGTGCAAAAAGTTGCCTCCAAAGACAAGTGTGTCCACTGGGGTGAGTACAGCATGTATCCATCCTGTTGGTATCATCATAGTGTGGCCAGCCGGGACAATGCATCGGTAGCAGCAATCCACCTGGGAAAACATATCAAATAGTACTCAACCTTTTAAAGGGAGTTGCTAATCTTGACATTTTCAGTATCACACATTTACTTTGCAAAAAAATGTTGGTTACATACAAATAATCCCCTAATTTATTGTTTCTATTTAAGACTTGGGAGCAGGTAAGTTTATCCTGCTTTACACCTTTAAACCAAATTTCATTAAAATCGGACAAAAATTACTCAAGTTATCTCGTTCACGGACATATAAATATATATATAAATGTAAAGGATGGTGTTTTTGGCCTCTGGGGACATCAAAAATGAAAAAATTGAATCGGTCCCGGGCCTACGTCTTACCGTGCCACCTATAGTAATAGCTACTTCCCTATAGGGAAATTTGCTAAAAGTAAAATTACCTGATCTCCAAAAAATGTTTCGTGTTGTGTAGAAGACGTCATCCACCTCTGATACAGAGACAGATTGGCCATTGTTGGTTTGATCAAATAAAAGATTTTCTCACCCTTGAAAAAAATATAATAATTAGATCTACAGTTTAACTTTACTTATAAACAAGTTTTAACTCCTGGTGTATTTTCTAAATCTTTATTTGCATAAGCAAAGATAATTGTTAGGTATACTAGAAAATACTTAACATTTTGATTAATTACTGTTCAATTTAACAACCTTCATTCAATCAGGGGAAGTCACAGATAAAATAAAATTTTAAATTTAGATGCTTGGATATACACCTAGGTAAAACAGGACAGTAAAAATTTGGTTTGGTACAACCATAGATAAAACATACTCCCTTAGTAGATTTGTCATCCTTATCTAACAGCTGAAGCCAATTTTATTGTTAGTTCTGTACGTCCAACTGTAGAGGCTGTATTTTGTTTAAAATTTGTTTCTTGTTATTTCAGTAGGCCTAATTTAAAACCTCATTTAACCAAATAAAACGACTTAATTATAAACAATAACTGGTCTCCTACTTATATAATCAAATAGTAAAGCACAAATCATGAAAATAACCCTAAAATAATAGAAACAAAATTTTGTCTACCCCAGCAATCAGTGTGGACGTACATGAACTAGACACGAAAAACAAGCTTCAAAATTTACAATGGGATGAGGAGTCTACTTGTGTTGCTTAGTCTATGGTACAACCTACAACAATTAATTACTTTTAATTCACTATCATAGTCAAAGAGTAGTTAGTTTTTCTCAAGCCTAACAGTAAAACTAATTAGACGAGCGGGATTGCACAATGGATTTACGTGGTTGCTACGCATTACGTAATGTGAGCACTGAGCAGATGGCACAAGGTCACGATGTAGGCAAGAGTAGTTTAAGTGGATTTTCAAAGGAATAAAAATACAAATACATTTGTAGTATTATTATGTATGTTGTTTCATTATATTCCCTTTTTTGTTTTTTATTGTTTTATCAAACATAAATACAATAAGGGACAGGGTCTAATCAAATTGTAGATAATAACACAAAACACAGTAGCCAAGCAGCTGACGAAGTTCGCTAGCTTACAAATGCACTACAGTTAACTTTACAGTATTCAGGAAGAAACGTCTCATTCGTAATATGCCATTTGTTATAATTGTCCTTACATGGAATTACCGAGTATTAGTTCACATTAAACTTTTTTTTTGCTGCAATACTTTTAATAAAACCCGATAAGTAACCGGAACAGTAATATTATAAAATCGTACATTTGAAATTAATATTATTATAGACTATATAATGTTTTGGGTTTTGGTATTCTTTCTCTTTTTCTTGATTCATTTTGTTAAAGCCATTGGACATCTAGCTGACAACTATGATGATTGCCTTTGTACTGCAAGAGACATTGCGCCTTTCAAAAGGCAAAAAAAAATGTACTTCTTTTTATTTAATTAATTATTTGTTTATTTTGTTATCTTGTCCGTGAAGTGGTGAGCGACAAAGAAGCTCTCCCCACACGCAGATGTACAGTCTTTGTGGGGATTTTTTTCCTTTTTGTACATTGTGTTTAAGCTACGATTGTAATTTTTGTAATTTGTAATTTTGGAAATAAATATATTCTTATTTTTATTCTTATATGTTATTTTTTTAGTTTAACTAAAACACCCAGTTATTGTGTTAGTTGGAATATAGTTACTAGTTGTAAATTATCTTGTCAAATTAATTGTTGCTTCTAAAATAAACATATTTAGTTCCTACAAATGCTTAACCTAATTTTAAAGCCGGCTATGACTTATCTTTTAACTTTTTTGACACAATCCTGTTAGTAACAACGTGTTGTAATTGTTGATGGAAAAATATAAATATTGGCTGAGTAATGTACTTTATATCGAAATTAAAAATTATGGTTTGTATGCAATCCAAAGAAAAAATTTCAAAAATACCAGTAATCACCCCGTATCTAGAACCGAGGAGCAAAACAATGTAGGCCTACCATACTGACCTTAAATGATTTGAGCCTTGGACTCCTAGTATCGATAATCAAAACATCCCTAGTTATAACTATTTAAGTGAATGAAGCATAAAATAAACCTTCTAATAGCTAGTGTCAGTAAAAACAACTAGGAATCAATTCAATTGTGTGTTAAAACTTAGTAAAAAAGTGGAATCATACCCTGAGGACATGGTACCACACAGAAGTACCACCAAAGTCTATGTGGAAGTCTGTATAGGAGTCTTTGACACCAATGAGGCAATATTTTTGAACCTCGGGACGTTTGTACACTGTAGGAAGGGTTCCGATGGAGAGTGGCCAAACTGTGTTCACCCAATCCAACTTACGAGCAACATAAGGTGCTTCCACCAACTCACTCAGTCTGCAAATTCAAATCACCACTTAAAGATTTTGTTAAATTATAGAAAATATACTTGGTATAGTTTAGTTTTAGTAAAATGTGAATATATTGAAGGTTGGTATTGAGGTTTTGAGGTACTCTTATATCACTTAAATAAAATATGTCTTCCAACACATTTCTACACATCTGAACTTATACTATAAACATTTTAAATGTACAACATTATGCAACGGTATATTTGTTAACATTAGAAAACACGTGAAGTTACAAATCGTGGTAATAATGAATCATCAATAAATAAAAAAGCATAAAATAAATAGTAGAATAGAAAGCCTTAATTAGAACAGCCCTCAGTGGGTATAGACCATATGTTACACTGACGGCACTGAAACATCTCCATAACCTAAAGTCACGGCCGGCCTTTATTAAATATCACTGCAATATCCTGAATATCTTTCTTTCTCAGTCACGGAAACATTATCACTGTCTTACACGGTCGTGGCAAAATCCTGAATATCGCTCAGCAATAGCAGAAACACAATCATCATCTCCTGCGATCAAGAAAAGGTTATCATCGTCCCGTGATTGCAGCAAAATCACCTACGCTCATGTAGACATTATCATCATCTTCCACAAGAGCAGAAAAATCCTGATCATCTCCAGCGGTCGTGTGCATCATTGTCATCTCCCGTGGTCCTGTAGAATAAATCATCGTCTCTCGTGATCGCGGCAAAATCAATAACACCTCTCACAGTTATGTGGACATTATCATTGTCTCCCACAAACGCAGAAAAATTCTAATCATCTCCCGCGATCGTGTACAACGGCAGTCGCGGCAAAATCCTGATCATTTCCCATGGTTATGTAGAAATCATTACCGTCTCTCACAGTTGTGTGGACATCATCGTCGTCTTTCGCTATTGCGGCATATGTATTACCATTTTTCGGCCGTGTAGTCATCATCTCCCGTGACCGTGTTAACATCATCATCGACTCCCGCTGACACCAAAATGTCATCGTTGTCTTGTCCAACTTTGGCAAAATCATGAACATCATTTGCGGTCGTGTAGACATCATTGTTGACTCCCGCAATCATAGTAACGTCATCGTTGTCTTACGTGGTCACGGAAACGTCATTGTCATCTTCGCAGCAAATTATGAACATCTTTAAGCGACTATAATAGCCATGGGTATATCTATCTGAATCTCCACTGGTAACAAGATTGATTAGTGAAATAAAAGTTACTAACTTGGTGTCAGAAAACTCCAAACTGATGAGATTCAACACCCTCTGTCTCATTGGGTTGTTGAAATAACTGACGAAATCTCCTACTGTCATCTTTATGTCTGTCTGACGGGCCACATCAATGACATCCACCTCTCTATCAGAACCTGGAAAACAATAAATAGATCAATATCTTGAAACATGAACTGGTTTGGTAGTTTTTATTTATTTATTCCAACAGACATTCCATTTTGATTTAGAGCAAACTAGTAGGGATTGAAGAAATTCAACAAAAATAAAATTGTTATCAGCCACAACAAGGAAAGGGAATTAAAACTGGTATATTTCATCACTAAAGCCACTTTGAGTGACTACCTGGCGTATTATGAACTGTATTTTTCTTCATACTGCAACATTCTTTAAGCTAATTTACATTGAACATTATTTACCCTTTCTTAGACACTACTAAGATATGCTTTATGTTGTCATCGGAGGTGACATAACAGACAGAAGACTAAGGAGTAGAGGATTGTCAGCGCAAGCGTGAAGTCACCTTGAAGCTATCAATCAATATTTCTTTGTTATGCTTCCGTCAAATGAACTGTGATTGTACACTCACAAAAATAATGTGGGAGTCAACTACATAGGCCTATCAATAATGTGCAGGAATAGTTGAATACACAATGAATTTCAACATATTAGACTAAATAAGTACAAATTTTTAAATTTTCTTGGTATTTTACTTGGGTAATGAGATTATATGTAACATATTTTAGAAGTATATTCTGCTGTATGTGACAAACAATCGATTTTTACTTTGCTTGGATAGTGCAATCGACTTATGATAGTGCTTATGTTAGAAATGAAATTCCTGAATTAAAATGAATAAAATTCCCAAAGTAACTTTTAACATTTTACAAGAACGATTGCTTTTTAGTGGAATGATTCTTAATGCTAAAGAATTCTTGCATCATAGATCATATTGAGATAAAACTCATGATTGAATCATACCCAGATTACTGTTACCGGTAGTTAAATACAGAGCAAGTTACATTTTATAGCTTTGAGCTAAAACCATTATTTGAAACAGGCTTGGTGTGAAGGTTGAAGATTGATTATCACTTTATGATTCAGAAACAGAAATTATTTTGTTGTAGTCCATGATAAACATTCTAATTATTTTCAAAATTTATGGTACCGGTAGCTTTTTATTTTTAATCATAATTTGTTATTATTTTAACGGAAAGTAAATAAAAAAAGTCTTGTAACACAACATATATTTACGCTTATACTGTTACTCACAAGATGGTAAATATACAAAAAAAGATGGTAAGTGGTGATCGATTTCGATTGGACACTCCAATCATCATCAGACCCAATAGGCGGAGGAGTTTCACTATATTTATATTGCTGATTTGTCATAACATTCTGTTATGCTGGCAATTTTCCTGGATACATAAACTACTCCCATACAGTACTGATGGGTTACTGAGAATCTACTTTGATATAGTGATACAGTTTTTAAGAGTTAATTGTCCAAAACGCGTGATTGGAAGTGTTCAGTTAACTGATTTATCAGATGACTGGCCATTTACGGGGAAATTAATATTTTACTTTCATTGATAACATTAAAAGAATTTTGAACATATTTACATGTATATTTTACGGTTTTTTACCATTCCAATGGTTTTACCATGATAACTCCAATCTATCAAGCAGATTAGTAAACTTTGTGATGGTTTTAATGTCAGATATTGTCACGTTTCCAACTCCATGAACCCAAACTAAACTCAGACGACATAGTCATTGAGAATCAAACAACACAAAAGAAAAGCGTACAAACTACACACTGACAAACTGACACAGCCAACTGAGTTGAAGTGGCTTTACTAGGTGAAAATCATTAGTATATTCTGAAAGTATTCTTTGGCCATTGCGAACAAAAGTTTGTTCATATAGGCAATACCTCTCTTCCATACAGTCAAATGACACAGGGGAGAGTTGGACAAAACGGGATACCATTCTTAATTTATGTTTTTTCATGAACATTTGTTAAAGAAATCGCACAGATGTCGTATTATAACCTTAAAAATTTATTAATGAACAAAACAAAAGAACTGTTTTTATACTTAACTCAACTTTAACATGTTCAAAACCACCATGGTTGGATAAAACGGGATAGGAATTTCTAGATTATATTTTTATTATCAAATCTAAAAAAAAATATTCTTAAAAATAAGCGGTTATCGTTAAAAACTAAACAAATTTGATTTTTATTGATCTTCTTCATCTTCTGATGAGGAGGACTTTTCCTGTGCAATAGACTTTTTTATTAGTTGAACAGGGATGGTTTGGTTAGATTTTTGGTTCTTTCCTTTTCTATCCGTTTGTTTTTTACATTTTATTTTTTATATCAAACAAACAGCCCCTTTTTCCTAGCCTTTTCCCTCATTCAAACTATTCTGGCATTTTCATTTCCCTCTTTCTTCCAGCTCCAACTCTAAAAATGCCTATCCCGTTTTGTCCAACTCAAAACCATCCCATTTTGTCCAACTCCGACACATTTGGAATAAAATATGGCTGATGCCAAACTAAGCAGCAAAACTACAAGGTGATCACATACAAATATTCGGAAATAAACAGCAAACAAAACATAATACTACCAAAATTGTATTCCTTCACACGCAGACACTATATCAAGAAGATTGTCAATAAAAACCCAACGATTTTGTCTGAAAACTCAGTACAAAACTTTGTAACATCATAACTCTAGCAAACTGAATGCTGGCCTTCCGTATTCAACTAAGAATGCCATGATGGCGGCCAAGAACCTATGCTTTCCCGCTAGATTGTGGCACTAGTATCGCTAGAACGTAGGGTATTCCGTTTTGTTTGACCGCCCCATTTTGTCCAACTCTCCTATAGGATGATGGGGCTTAAGATAATCTATACTTTACTATACAAGCATAACACTAAAGCGAAAATAGTGCTCTTGGCTTCTAGAGAGCTTTAATATAAAAAGGTTCTGAGGAGCCAAGACCATAGTAATAAATTATTCCCTGAAGGAGAATTTGGTCAAATGTGAAATTATGAGAAGCGTAACTGGTGTGACATGATTAGTACAGAGTGTTATTAAAAACCTAATTGCAGCAAGTACAACTTGTTCAACACACTAATATTGTTTACACTATTTGCAGTTTACACTATCCTTTGGGTTAATGTTTATGCTTTTATACATCAATCTTTTGTCAGCGAAACTTACCCACTAAAGCTTCAACATCTTGCACAGTGAAATATTCAGAGGGTACTCTTAAATCCAGACCTTCTTTTTCATCAACAATGATGGGCTGATCAAAACCATTTTGATAAAGGTGGTTTAAAGTCAATTGGTTACCTGTCAGCCTTGTTACCACAGGATCTGCACTGCAACCGTAAACAGAAAATTAGTAGATCAAATAGATATTAAACATAAAGTAGTTTTAAAATTAATTTCAGCTCTACTTTGATTCATTAGTAAAGAGAAAAATATGATCTTACTTCATAATTTGAAATTTGGAATTTAATTAAAAGAGGTTAAAAGAGACCGCCTAACTCTTAACAAAAAAAAAAAAAAACCAATGAGAAATTACACAAAAATAAATTATTAAGATTGCTTTTTATAACAATTGCTCTCAGACACATTTAATTTTTACTTTCAAGTCTAAAAATCCGAAGAAAACTTGACATTGGGCTGTTTGCCTGTTTATAAATGTAAAATTATTAGAAGAGGGTAGTATGTATATTTCAAAAATTTAAAAAAATATTACGTAAGGTATTTAAGGCCTCTTAGGTATTTCCGTCAATGAACGAGGTTAGCTAACACTATTGTTTTTAATTTCCTATTCAAATAAATTGTTGGTTGTGTAATAATAAAATGTTACATAGCTACATAATGGCCATATATACTGTAGGAACGTTTATCGGGTTATTTGTATATTATATGATTTATATAAAAATTATTTTGGATACAGGGAAACTCTATGGTAAAATCTTGATTCTCAGCTTACACCATAGGGTTAAGAGAATGTGGATGGATTCGAAAAAAGTAACTGTATTGTTGTATTCGTGAACTAGGTGTACAAAAGCAGGATGTTAGCATAAATAGTCGATAGCAGGGTCTGATAACATAAATGATAAGAACTGTATTCACATGTCATAGTAAAATGTTGCTGTTGTGGGAGTTTTCTTGACCACCAACTGTGGAAGAATTTGATTCCCAAAAACCCAAGGTGATTAGGTCATGATAGATAAAATACCTATCGAGAGTTGACAATAAAATTATGTTCAAAGTAAAATGTTATTGCAAGAAGTTTTGCTACTTCAAATTACCTCCCGTACCCCATTACTGCTTTAACTCTATCCAGTTAAACCGGAACCTGGGTTAACCTAAACCATAATAAGAGATTAAAATTCAAACCAATTTAAAAATTACCCGGGCAACAGGAATCCTTGCTGTAGTCAGCGGTAGTTGGCCTGACTTGGAAGTAATGAAGCAGAAACTAACAAGGATCCTCATACTGTGACTAAATTTAGAAAGCAATAATTGTTGATTATCTTAAGAAATAGGTGTTGTGTATACAGTTGAAGATTTTATGATGATAGCAAATGAAGTAGCCTAGAGTGAAAGTACTTTAAGTACTTTGTGGATCACTTTCATTAAATTATAACCATTTATTTATTGAAAAAGTAGGTTATCCGAATCTGCCTGGCATCCTTTATTTCTATAAAACCTCTTTTAGTCAAATAAAATAATCTAATCATAAACGGTGTCATCCAGCTATGTAACCAAACAGTAAAGCACAAATCATAAAACTAGCCTCAAAATAATAGAAACAAAATTTTGTCGACACTACCGATCAGTGTCATTAGACATGAACTAGACACGAAAAACGAGCTTCACATCACACAGAGGAATGATGAGTATAATGTTAATATATTGCCCATGATTTTAGCCAGTTCTAAATTCCATCGCAGATAACTAATACAATGGCAGAGAAATGCGTTAGGCCGTGGACAAGGTTAGGGTTGCTATAGCAACAATGAATGAACGAAACTATCCGTTGCATTCACGCGCGAAACATCCAATACACAGGTCTCCGCACCGCGGACTGAATAAACCCACCACGTATCTGGAGTTTAAGGGAGCTAGTAATTTCAGTTGGCAATACTGGCTTCTATCCTCGAGCAAAGTGGTTCAACAACTATATTCGCTTCCCAATCTTGGGTTATCTCAGTTAGCGGCGCCCACTCGGCACTCCAATCCCCACCTAAAAGACGACAAAGTGAGCTGACGGTCTAGTTAATTGTCAACGAAGGGGATTCTCGTATTTAATAATTTAATTTTACAGACTGATCAATGGCGCTGAAGACGAAATAACTTGTCAGCGAAAAGGTTTTACGTATTTATATATTTAATTTTAAAAGACGGTCTAGTGGCCTGACGATGAATTAAATTGTCGATCTACCGGTAGGCTCCCTTTGCACTTAGCTATTAACATTTTACTAAATGTTATTTAAATAGGGAATGAATATGATATTTTTAAAGAGATATTTTATTGAAAATCTAATCAGGCATATGGAAATTTATTTAGTCTGCAGGTTTGTTACAACCAGTGTATTTATATTTGGCTAGTAAATTTATCGTGATTATGAAAGCATTTGCAATTATTGCATAGTCAAAGACTCACAATATCACTGCTATTGAGGGAAGGGGATCATGATGCCTGCCACCTTCGTGATCACAGAAGTGTTCATGATATCGCGATCACATTAGATGATGACTTATATTAATAAAACTATCCCTCAAGCCTATCACCCTCCTATTTTTTTAAAGGTTTTTGTTAGTTGTTAAGTTGTTATAATTCTTTCAATTAACTTTTATGCTAAAATCTGTTGTGCAATTTTACTTAGTTTAATCCAATTCATAAATTTAATTTTAATATGTTAGGTCATTCATTTAATATATCATTGGAGTGTGTATTTGTATTTTTTGTCTATGACCCATAAAAAAGTTAAATATAAGATGAAATTATTTTAAACTCAATATCTTGTTTCATAATATTCACATGTATACTTTAAATACATCGTGACAATAGGCCTATAATTAATTATACAGGGTGAGTTTTAAATGAGTTCCCCCCTACTTTTTTCTTCATTTCTTAAGATATCAACTCCGGACCACGTCAGATCATTGTAGAGTAGTAAGTACTTCATTTTGACTGGGTATAAAGTTTTGGCCGCCATCTTGGATCCGCCATATTGGATACAAAGTTTGTTTTTCAAATGTAAAGGTAGGGTTGTGACCCATCGTTTTAAACTAGATTTTTATGCTGAATACGATGCTGCAACCCGTTTTTAAAAATCTTGATCCATTCTAAAGTTATGAGAACTTTTTGTAACATTATTTTTAGCCCATTTTAACATTGTGCATTTAGAAACTAAGAACATAATCGCAAAATAGTGCTAGATAAATATAAGTATACACCACATAATATACATAAATCTTTATCTAGCACTATTTTGCGATTATGTTCTTAGTTTCTAAATGCACAATGTTAAAAAAGGCTAAAAATAATGTTATAAAAAGTTCTCAATAGCTTTAGAATGGATCGAGATTTTTAAAAACGGGTTGCAGCATCGTATTCAGCATAAAAATCTAGTTTAAAACAATGGGTCACAACCCTACCTTTACATTTGAAAAAAAAACTTTGTATCCAATATGGCGGATCCAAGATGGCGGCCAAAAATTTATACCCAGTCAAAAAACTCACCCTGTATGTCATTTCAAGTCAACTTGAAGGTTGAGCTTCTCTCAAAAGTTTGGTTTGATCTAAAATCTGAGGTTCACAAACCTCTCAAATAGTGATGTAAAATACCCGGGTATTTAAAACTCGGGGTAAATACCCAAAATCCATAAATACCCGGGTATTTTGGGTATTTATGAAATCGATTGAAATTCATTTATATTTACCCCTAAATATGTTATTGTTATTATTACATGATAAATTAGGATAGTCTATAACACCTTTTACAGTAACTTTAAGCTTTGCTAGTGCCTTTTATTTAATGATTCATCACTTTTTTTAAAATATTACATTTAAAGTTTCTAAATAAGCATTTAGTTTTGTGTCTTAAATCGAGTAACATCAGTTAAATTTTTTTTAACTTGCTAAAAGATAGTATATTAAAAAAGGCTGTGACTATTTCAATTGTTATCATTTTATAAATTTATAACCAATTAAATAACATTTAAACAAAATTATTTTAATTTATACATATCCAGGAATTGTTAGGTACCTATTTATGATGCAATAAAAACAGTTGAACTTGCCATGAATAGTTTTATTAACAATACATTATTGCGTAGGCCTATAACATTTTAGAATACTCCAAATTCCTAAGGCCTGATTGACATAGGCAGAATACTAAAAGTAATTATAATTAAACTTTTCTGTGTTACCGCTTGGTTGGAAACAATAATATATTTGGATAAACCTACTAAAAAAATGTATCTCCTGTTTTTTGGCCTAACTTAATATAATTTTGAAAGATTTATTGTGCTACAGATTTAAATGTTTTGTATCACAAGTTTATGAAATTAGTTTTTTTTATTTTGATACCATTGATACTAACAAAAGATCTGGAACAAAAATATGATTAAATCCTGCCATACTACTGATTGATTTTTAATTATTTTCTTCTTAAAAGTTGTTAACACATAGGCCACTACTAGGTTAAATTTTCCTGTCTTTCTAAATAATAATTATTACTTTACAAATTATTTTTCTTCGCTTTCAATAAAATAAATTCATCTCTCTATCATAGAAATTAAAAAATCATAAGTAGTCAGGGCCAGTGCAACCATGCGACCAGGGTATTTATGCCGATTATGCTTTATGCTGAGACCTGGATATTTATGGCGATAATACCCATAAGTAAAATGCTAGTAGTGTCCATATGAAATGTTGTTTAACACATTTTATTATCATTTTACTATCCTTACAGGGTAATAATTGCAAAAAAACATCTCAATCTTTTCTAACTTTAATACAAATTATAAATACCCAGTTTTTGGGTATTTACCCGGGCCTGGGGTAAATACCCAATTTATATTTACCTACCCACTGGGTATTTACCCGGCCCACATCACTACTCTCAAATATGATACGAACACATCTACAATAGCATTACTTCAAGGAAAATGCAATCATAGTAAAAGCATAATTCAGATTAATTCTAAATCTTTCACTTTATTACTTTTGGTTGGCAAATAATGAAGCTTAAAGGTAATCTTTGTTGTATGTAAGGCAAAATGAACTAAATAGCAATCTATAATTACGCTGATGCTCAATTGTGATACTTGCGGTCACAGTTGCGAGCACTGTTGAGTACGGCTGCGTGTTCCAATACTAACTTACACACAAGGGCCGGGTACAGATGATTTTCTAGCAGTTTGGCAAAAAAAATCATTTGGCAAAACAGACTCGCAATGACATTATCAATCTCGCAGCCGTATTGGGCAGCTAAGAAAACACGCCTTAAGAGCTTTTAGCATTTGTTTTTCAAAGGAATTTTTGTCCTACTTAAACCCAGAGGAAAATTTATTGGCACTAAGAGGTCCGAGTTATGCAGTCCCCCGCACATAAAATGCGAAGCTATAAAAACTCTATTTTAAAATTAGTTTTAATTTACTAACATACCTGGGGAAATGTCTGGTTTTCAACTCTTCTACAAAGACTGGAGTTCCTGTCTGGACAGGTTTATTTTCAGCTTCCATGTCCGAATAATTATGTCTGTGGAAATTGTACTGCTTTTTGACTGTAAAGTATACATGTGTTTCAATGCACAACAATAAAATAATAGTTTGTAAGGTAAATAAAAATCAGAACACAAAATATATGATTTACTACTATTCAAAAGTAAACCGTGAGGAAGGAAAACAGATCCTTCATTGACCAGCACAGTACAATTGACTCTTGTTTACTGAGGTTGACATCCCATCTATATGGAACAGGTGTAGCCTGCCACTCACAGAACGTGCTACTGTCAGAATAATATTTCTTTTTTGTTTCAGTTACTGTGATATTTTATGTGGCATAAAAGATTCTCTACTCTACAATAATTTCTTGTCCTTCGAATTTGGCTTCATTAAAATGTTGGCATTTTTGACAGATATCAACACTTACATCAGCAGTCACTTTGTAGACGGCTTATGAGTTTTTTTAATCGGTCTTGTAGACGTCATCTTCACTTCGTCTCCCACGGTCACAGAAACGACATAATATTTTTCAAAATTCATGTTTATGGCCCCTGGACTTTATAGAATAATAGGTTTTTTACATACCTCCGTCAAATAGTGCAACGATTAATATTGCTCTTCAGCTTATATGTTTCGTTGCGAAGACAAGATTTTCAAAGCTTGCAACTCGTCAAAAACACATTTAAAACACGGATGACACGAACATAAAAAACATTAAAATGGTACGAATACACAATCAACATTTAGTTAGTGCTATCATGATACTAATTTGGCCCGGCGCGGTGCGGGGTTGGTAGCAGACTCGAGGTCTACGTCACGTCGTCTCCTCTACTATTATCACTGATGTTATCAGATCTTCGATCAGCTGTTCCAGAGTTTATGATTGTATTGAAAATCGAGTGAGACCGGAACTATAATTTTTTGATAAGAATGTGGTCCTTACACTGTAACTTACTACAAAATGCAAGACTTGTGAGGTTTGAATTAATTACGGTCAAAACTGATACTGCATGACAGAAAACATGTAGCCACTTATGAGTTTGGATTTTTAAAACTCACCAAAAAAATTGAGTATTGAAACAAAAATATTTCCATATTTTTAGTGGCTTTATTTCAGTGTCCTTTTGACTCATCACTACATGCAATCGAATCATAATTTTCATGATCAAAAGTCAATAAAGAAAAAAGAACTAAAGCGCAAAAGTTGAATTATTTTCTATTTGAGTAACAAATGATTCACTTACAAACAGAAGGGCCACACGCAACTTCACACTGTGGGCAGTGATATTTGTCCAGGTCGATAGATACATATTCACGAACATTGACACAGCTGAAAAAATATAATCATTTTAAGAAGTTGTTATTATTTCATGTATACATGGCAGAAGCTACACTTTCCTAAAATTGAATAATATTAGTATTGACAACAAATAAGTAATATTTACGCTCACCTGAAAGAAAAGCATCTATTAACCATTCAGGTTGTAGGGTACCAAATTTTAAGTGGGGTAAAAACGTGTCATGATTTAATAAATGCCAGAACTTACCCGTTTTTCATCCACAATTAGCCTACTCATAGGCCTATGTGTTGGCCATACCTTGGGATATGGGCCAAAGAACGTAGGCCTAGTTTCACACTCGCACGACATATTTATCAGTAGTAGCACTCCACTTCATCAAATAAAGCTAAACCGACAGATTTTACAAATATTTAATGCAGACAACGACATATAATAGCCCCAAACTGGTGTTTGTTGACAGACAACAGACGAAAACTAGACCGGCTCAACAGGTGAATATTCCATCAGCTGTTGTCTAGCAGTACCTAAGTTCGCAATACCACGATTTACGTTTAATTTTCGTTTAACATTCGCATTCTCGTTTTCAAATTCTATTTTAAATATCTAAATTTATAACGCAGATTTCACCGACTTACGTTATACCCGCCAGTTCCTGCCTGCCAGGATCTAGCAGTGGCCGTAAGTTGGCTTGGTTTAGCCTAATTGAATAAATTAAAAATTATAACAGTCATGTTTGACTACTGTATAATTTTAACCTCTAAATTATTTCTCGTTTATTCACTGTTTAGTACCCCGAGACTTGTTGCCTGAGTTCTAAACGCTGTCGTTGGCTGGTGATAGAATCAAGTCTTCGGAGTGTTCAGATTTGTACAATTAATTGTGAATAATATTACTATTAAATTTATGCTAACCGTATTTTTCTAAATTCTTCATTCATATATATTAATTAGGCTCCGTAGACTCTGTGGGCTACGACAGCCTCTGCAGTAGTCTATGATATCCGAATTCAACAGTCTCCATCCACGCACCAGAAGACGGACAGCGTACGAGATATACTCAGACTCCTGCCAAACGCTGATTCTGAGTCCACTCAGTGAACCCTCACAGTTTTGCTGAAGCTGCCAGCCAACATCCCGTCGCCCAGGCAAGATATTCTGTCACGCATCACGCTCTTCAGTCCAAGGACGGGACACGATTATCGCGTTACGTTCGATAGCCTCAACACCGATCAACCTACAATTTACCCGATGCTTACGACCTTCGAGGAGTGGAGCAGCTGGCTCGGATTCTTAAAAGAATTCACGGGAACCGTCTGCCACGGAGCACACCCCCCTTAGATGACCGGCCCTTCGTCGACACGGTCATCCCAGGTGAGACTTCAGCGCCCCGACGATACCGGCTCGTCGGTCAGTCTGATTGGAGATCGCGCCGTACATCACCTTCGGACATGCGGCATCAAACCCAACCGTGAAGGGCAACTCAACATCAACGGTCCTAAGCATCCTAGTTGCCAAGATTGAAGACACCCCAGAACGGTCAGGAAATCCTTGCAGTGGTTTTTGTTAATACAGGGTGCATTTAATAGTTAATGTGATCTATAACTCCATAGATGCAGCAGTCAGAAGCAGAAGCAGGACCCCCCCCCCCCCCAGAACATAGCGTCTTGGATTATCGCTTGAACAGCAGGGAGGTAAGAGAAGTGATTGGCGGCTACTCTGCAGCAATCACATCCCGCGCTGCCCCAAGTAGGAGTTATCTTGCCTTTGTTGTGGGCATTGGTGGTGGATCACCTTTTGGGAGAGGCAGAATGGAGAGACATGGACCTCCAAGCTTTTGCTGACGATTTAGTGTTCACAGTAAGAGGAAAACACACAGCCACTGTGGGAACCTTACCCAGACAGCTGTGAGCTTCATCGAGGGATGGTGCTGAAAAGAGTGCTTCACTATTAACCCGGACAAAATGGATCTAATCTCCTTCACCTGGAACAGGCACCTTGACTATGTCCTAGCAAAAGGCATAGGAACCTTCGGAGCCTGTAGATGAACCTTTGGTAAGAAATAGGGACTTAGCCCTAATCTAATATATTGGACTTATGAGACCATAGTCAAGCCAATGGTTACACAGCAGCCTTAGTGTGGTGGCCAAAAGCAGAGCAGATTTTAAAGCCATTTTTAATGTAAACATTAAGGATAGAATAAACAAATGATTTCATTATTATTAGGACTACTTTGTTACCCTACCTATTGATTTTATTAAAAAAAATATCGTGTGGTACAATTCAGAATTCTGATTGTCTTCCTGTCTCTGCTCCTTGTATGCATCGGAAAAGGAAAGGACCCATTTCTACCGACTAATTTCCCATTCTTGCTAATGGGTAATTACCCTTAAATTACCCTTTCACCTATCTAATTACTGTTTTCTCCCCATGATTAACCACGTTTTATCTACCCCACACAAAACCCTGAATTCCCACCAGCCCCCTAGTGAGTTGGGGTTATTGTAAATTAAATAAGTAAATAAATAAGTAAATAAGTAATAAAAGGAGGCCTCGGCGCCAACAAATTCTTTAAGAAAGTTGTATTATTGATGTCCTAGAATAGTTTTTTTAAAGTGATTTTTAAACGTTTAAGCTGAGGTCTGGGTCCTAAATAAGTACCCCTAGTGGTAACAAAAAAAAAAACTCTACAAGAATATAGCTTTTGCTCCAGTTTCCTGAGTGCTTGTGGCATTTTTGCTCCAAAAATTTGTTGCCTAGCTTAAACTCTAGGTGTTTAATAAAATGTAAACGTGTGTACCCCTAAGTGTTAAATTACACAATAGCTTTTACAAGTAGGGTACGGTAGCCTTAGTAGCCTACGGTAGGGGCCTACTTACGTTAAGAACATAATTATTTTTTAAGAATTTGGTCAATTTGACATAGGTACCTCACACCTAATGCATTAAAGAAAACTAGGAGTAACTTAGTATAACCATAGATGAAGTACAGTAATATAATTATAAAAAATCTAACTTAAGTTATAAGCCCCCAATAAGTTTATAAATGCACCCATTACAGTATTATATTATGATCATTAAGGTCCAACATTAATCTGATGTATCATAAGCTAACAGTCCACGTATAATTTTACTCATATAGGATAATATATTTTCCTACTACTACATGGAGATGATAACATTGCTACACCTGTAAACATAAAAACATACGCAAAACAGCTTAATAATTCCCTCTAGAGTGGGAATGGCCGCTTGCTAAATCAGCTGATTTTTGGACGTCTATATAAAACACTAACAATCGGTAAGCAAATAACATACAGTAGCCTAACCTAAAAAAGTAACAACCTAAATGACAAATTATATTGGCCTAGGCCTAAAACAAAAAAGTTAATCTTTGTCTTAGATAAGTAAATAATGGTGGTAAGAAATATCTTATGAGTATTACGAGCACAAACAGCAACTGCCGCTCTAGAAATGTGTGGCCACACTAACCTTTCTTGAGCGGCATCTTAGTACTTTGTGCTCTTAACTTAACTTAATACAAAAAATAGCTATCCTATGGAATACAACCAATTATAAATAAGTTAAACAAGTTAGACTAATTTGGAGGTAAGTCTTGAGCATAAAGTAATAATGCATCACTTTGAAAATACCTACATAAGTTAGCTTTTGTAAACCATTCCACAAACCGATTCAACTTAGAAGGCAAGGAAGCATAGCAAGTACTAGGGTACCTTAAAGAATGCTTAATATTATCCTTGAATCACCTTTGGTTATTGTTTCACTCCCCCAACTCACATAAAACATTTTAAGGTCACATAACTTTGAGGCTACCTCAAGTAACAATCTTGTCTAGGTCCAGGCCTACATAACTTTTAAACATACTTAAGTTACGGGCCTACTATAACAAACATTGAGTAAGGGTAGGTAATAATTGTATAAGTTAAGTGAAATCTGGTGGGTCAAGCTAGGCCTAGGCCTCTATCAACTATCAAAAGGGTGCAATAGAAGAGTGTTTGAGTAGGCCTATGTGTTTATTTATGTGTCTATTTATCGTTATAAACATCAATACAGATAACTCTCAATAAAAATCCTTTACAGTAAACATTTGTTTACAAACGTGTACTAAGCTAAGGCCACGAACATTAGGCTGCGATCAACAAAACAAGCACTTCAGTTTAGCCTACTCAAAGAATTTAAATGATCTTTGTAGCCTACTTACTTGCCGTGATACCACTCTCGGCAGTTGTCACACTGAATCATAAACTGTTTTTCGTCATAGGGTTTTCCACATATACAGTAAATTTCTTTTGACACCTCCATTTCGGTATAAATGTAATTATCAACATTCAGCATAGACCATCGCCATCCAAACAACACAATCACAACAACCAACAACAAGTAACAACAGCCATAGCAGTAGCCACGGGCACGGCCTCGATCTTCTCCTTCTCTCCAGTCTTCACTCTTTCAGCCAAAACCCAAAACAAAAAAAAACACCAACTCACTCAGTTCAGTAAAGTAATTCTAATTCAGTGGTGCCACTACACTTTGTCAACCGTCGTGAAGTTAGCGGCTCTTTTCATCGGCGCTTCTTCGGATTGTAATAGATATGGGTTGGTACGCCTGCGGACGCCACAAACGTGTTGTGCAGGGATGTCGGAAACGCAATTCAATGACAATACGGTGCGAAATGATGTTTTTACATTTATATAATGTCAATTATACCTTGATAAAACGTGTATACATGTTAAAATTAATAATTGACGTATTTTAAAAGGCATATTTGAGACCGTACTGTACATTATACGTAGCTATGGCTTAACATAACGCGATCAATTAAAACTCCGAACATAAAAAAGTGCATAATCTTTTTCCTAAGCCCATCACATCAACATTGAGATATTCTAATAAAAATATACAATGTGTAGAATAATCAGTATGAGTATGATTGGAAAAAAGTGCACAATCTTGATTGTGATGGACTTAGGAAAAAGATTGTGCACTTTTTCCTGATGCGAGTTCCTATCAACCATATACATTTTGCCATATAACTTGGTAATTTAGGGGACTGCCTCAATCATATTTATACTGAGTATTCTACACATTGTATATTACCATTAGAATACATCAAAGTTGATCTGATGGACTTAGGAAAAAGATTGTGCACTTTTCCTAATTCGAGTTCCTATCAACCATATACATTTTGCCATATAACTTGGTAATTTAGGGGACTGCCTCAATCATATTTATACTGAGTATTCTACACATTGTATATTACCATTAGAATACATCAAAGTTGATGTGATGGACTTAGGAGAAAGATTTGCGCACTTTTCCTGACGCAAATTCCTATCAACCATATAGATTTTGCCTTAGCTTCGTAATTTACTGGACGGCCTTAATCATATTTATACTGAGTATTCATCTACACATTGTATAATACCATTAGAATACATCAAAGTTGATGTGATGGACTTAGGAAAAAGATTGTGCATTTTTTCCTGATGCGAGTTTCTATCAACCATATACATTTTGTCATATAACTTAGTAATTTAGGGGACTGCCTCAATCATATTTATACTGATTATTCTACACATTGTATATTACCATTAGAATACCTCAAAGTTGATGTGATGGTCTTAGGAAAAAGATTGTGCACTTTTTCCTGGCACAAATTCCTATCAACCATATAGATTTTGCCTTATAGCTTCGTAATTTACTGGACTGCCTCAATCATATTTATACTGAGTATTCTACACATTGTATATATTACCATTAGAATAGCTCAAAGTTGGTGTGATGGGCTTAGGAAAAAGATTATGCACTTTTTTATGTTTGGAGTTTTAATTGATCGCGTTATGTTAAGCCATAGCTACGTATAATGTACAGTACGGTCTCAAATATGCCTTTTAAAATACGCCAATTAATTAGTTTTAACGTGTATATGTTACACTCAATCTCCGAATTCGGACAATGTCCGAAATTTCTACCCACTCCGCGATGTGGATGGTGTGAAATACCCACGTCGCGAAGTGAGCATTTTGTTCGGACATTGGCCGAAGTGAAATGCCCAGACCGCGTTGTGGGTAAATTGATTCACTCAAATGCCGAAGTCATAACGTTCTTCGGCGATTGAGCAAATCTAAAATACCCACAACGCGATGTGAGCAAGAGGGATTGCCCACGTCGGGTTGTGGGTATTTCTAGTTTGTGCAAACGCCGAATTTATGTTTAGACATGTTACTCCCACCATTTGCACTATCTGCTTAGGATGGACGGACCTGCACGTGCTTTGTGTTTCCTTTAGTGTTAGGTTAGGTTAGGTTAGGCTGTTTTAAGGCTACCAAAACGCCTATTTTTGCAAAGCGGAATAAACATAATTTCAATGTATGTGTAATGGACCTTTTTATATTTTGGTTCATATTCAGTAATTTGCTGTTTTCTTGTATTTTCTAAAATGCTATTTATACATTAAATAGTTATAATCACATACATAAATTTTATTTATTTTACCTAGTGATTGTGGATTTCATGTAGATTTATGGGTAGGCCTATACGGCAGTTTATATACTACTAGTCGGCGTTTGTGCAAACTAGAAATACCCACTACCCGACTTGGGCAATCATTTTGCTCACATCGCGTTGTGGGTATTTTGAATTTACTCAATCGCCGAAGAAGGTGTTGACATCGGTGTTTGAGTAAATCATTTTACCCACAACGCGGTCTGGGCATTTCGTTTCGGCCAATGTCCGAAATAAAATGCTCACTCCGCGACGTGGGTATTTCACACTATCCACATCGCGGAGTGGGTAGAAATTTCGGACATTGGCCGAATTCGGAGATTGAGTGTAACATATACACGTTTTATCAAGGTGTAATTGACATTATATAAATGTAAAAACATCATTTCGCACCGTATTGTCATTGAATTGCGTTTCCGACATCCCTGCAAAACACGTTTGTGGCGCCCGCAGGCGTACCAACCCATATCTATTACAATCCGAAGAAGCGCCGATGAAAAGAGCCGCTAACTAACTTCACGACGGTCAAAAACCCACAGTCACAGTTACTAACTACTGTTGCAGTTTGCAGTGTTGCAGTCTTGCAGTTTGCAGTTGCAGAGAAGAGAAGCTTGAAGCAGTGAAGTGAGTGAAGTCGTGAAGTGAAGCAGAAGCAGTGAAGCAGAGAGACTTTGTTATGTACTTTAGTGATTGGCATTTTTGTTTGTAAACTTGAGCGTGTTTAGTTTTGTAAACTGGACAATTGCAATTATAATTCCGAATAATGAATTTTGGCATACACAATAAACTTTTCCGTAACCTTACCATAGAAGTTTGACGCTTTTGTCATCGACACAGTCTTAATACACTAAATAACCTACAACTCGGAGACGGGGACTAAAAATGCCGGGCGCGATCGTAGAGAATCTTAGCGGGAAAAAATTGTTTGTCCTCGTTGCTGTTCTGCTTATTCTTCAAGTAATATGTTTCTTAATTGGCGGTTTGATTGGTAAGTATACTTAGAAATTAAAAATAGCAATTAAGTAGCCTAATTTTTCTTTAGGCCTAGGCCTAGGCCCTACTGTCTGTCCTCCATAGTTTAACCCCTGAGATCTGAAAACTGTGCCTTAAGCTTACATCGTATTATAAGCTGATATTCACTAAGAACACTGATTCATGAAACAACTTAAAATCTTATTTTCCCATACCATTGAAACATATTTGAGTTGCCACATTAACTGGGTAACTTACTAAATCACAGTTGGTTTTTGCAGGGTTGTAAAAAGGTAGGCCTAGTGTCGGATAGGATTAAGAATGGGTTGGTGATGAAGCTATTCAGTAATAACATAACTTATTGAATAAAAGATAGTGATGTGACGAGTCGAGTATTGAATAAAAGATAAAGATGTGATGAGTCCAGTATTTCCTTGACACAAGTCCAACTCAACTCACGACTATGTCAACTCGAGTTAGACTCAACTCGGTATCACTGTGAAACTTTGGCCTTCATGGGGCGAGTTCAGTTTGACTCGCAGCGCAGCCAATAGGGTACCGGTAATAGTTTTGAGGGTCGGCTCAACTCCTATCATATGACGTCCCTATTCAAAATATCCTTTATTCATATACATAAGTACAATTAATTGTGCAGGAATAGAGTCCCTAATCATCATATCCACAGACCAACTGACTAGGGTTGCCATAGGCCTAATTGTTAATTTGTAAAAAAAAGATTTTGGCTGGTGGCCCCCATACTATAGTGGATAAAAATTGATGGGTTAGCAAAATTGTATGTACTGTACCTACATAGCAAAAATATGTTAACAGAAACGGTATGGGTCATGAACATAAACTAAATGATGTCACTGGCATGAAAGTAAACACTTAAGTTAAAAAAAAAATCCAAGCCAAGTTCTTACAGCTATTAGTACGGTATAGACATTGGGCCAGGTGGCGTAATCTGTTTATGTTTATTAATCGCTAACCGTACGGCCTATGCGGGATTATTCTTTCGTATTTCATATAGGCCTATATTACTACTATATTGTAAACAATTTATTTTGATTTACCTAAGCTTATCTGTTCAATATTTGTGTTCTGCATTGCCAATATTCAAATATTGTACGCGAAAGCATATAATGTTGCATCTTGCTGGTCACATCTCACCAAAAATAACGAATCAAATAACGTAAACAAAACGCTCCCTGCCTGCTAGGCTTTGGTAGTAAACTTGGATACCTTTGGACTGGCTGGCAAACGCGAATTGAAGGACTGAGAGCAATGAAACAGACGATAAGGATAAACTAAGGATGTTGCTGCCCAAAGAAATAAAAAAAATGTTAGTAGAGAGTACGAGAGTTGCGTTTTTCAGTCATTGCATAACTTAATATTTGCGAATGCAAACATTTATTTTATTCCAAAAGTGCCGTTATATAATGTATTTTAATAAAGAGTACATGTAAATAAGAGGTTATTTCTAACTTTTGTGCAGAAATCCCCCGGAGCTAAATTTTGAACATCAAAATTTGGTAATCTCCGGGGGAAACTTAGGGATATGGCAACCCTACAAGTGACAACATACGAACTTAACAGGCCAGCGGGGCTGCAGGCTGCATCCTTGTAGACCACTGTAGAGAATTCAGGGCCTTCCAATAGACTGTTACGAAGATATGTACGCTTTTTAATAAACACTTATATGCGACGTCAGTCTATGGGTTGAAACCAGCCGTCGCATATAAATGGTCCATATAAATGAAAAATTTAGTACTATTGCGGTAATGAACGTGTTAAGCATAAAACATTATATTGTAGTCTATATTTTCTTTTAAATGATCATACCAAAATACAAATATTTTTATCAGTCAATAGATTTGTGGAATGATTTATGGTGGAGTACGCTTTTTAAATGGCAATAGCCTATTGTATAGTATGTCAAATTGATTAATTTGTGTAGGCTATATTTAAAATGGTTTAATAATATCATGGATAAAATATACTCTTTTAGTCGATTTCTCATCCTTACAACAATAACTCGTCCCCTAGTTACCAAACAGTAAAGCACAAAACATGAAATTAACCCTAAAATAATAGAAACAAAATGTTGTCGACATTAGCGATCAGTGTCAGCGGACATGAACTGGACAGGAAAACGAGCTTCAACATTTACAATGGGATGAGAAGTCTACTTGTGCTGGTTAGACTATGATAATATTATAGGCTAGTTGATTAATTAATTAATTGCAGGCTTTTAATTAAAAGTATGTCCACTGAACCTTTAAAAAAATTGTGATCAAATAAACTTATGAACTAAAAACTGCTATCCATACAACCCCTCAATGACTAAAACTTTGTTTTACTACCCCATTATTTAATTAAAAGTACTTGAAAATATAGTGAATACTACTGGCTACTTAATGTGTTGCAAAAGGATTGCATGAAAAGTGGAAAAAAGATTCTTTGCCTTAAGCTGCGTTCACACAAAGCCAGTTGACTGGCAGGCTACTTGCCTCAGGTTACTTGAAATACATTAGAAGTAAGTAACCTGCCTGCTCTACTCAATGGTCAGAAATTTCTTTTCTTTTCATTAAATAGAATATCATAGTTGATTCAGGTAGCGAATGCCCATAACTCAACATTAAATTAACCCAATAATTTCCTCGTTAATTTATATTTGAAAGCGTAACATATGTAGTGACTGTAAAACATGTTGTTACAGCACCTACTCCATCCAATGCTGACAGCGTTTTGGCCACAAAATGCTTAGACTCAGGCAATAATACGGACGCTTGGTTCTATGTCAGAGGAAAAGGGCGTTGTAAATCCATCAGTCTTGACCATTACGGCTCAGACACACAGCACAGGCTTGCCAATCAGATAGTGTTTGCTTTCCAGGTAACTATAAATAGTAGATCTGAAGTTTTACACATGGCCTATTCAATAATCTTATTGGTAACTTTTTAAGGACCACTTTGTCCAGATCTTTTCCTAAAAAAAAAAATAAATAAATAAGTACGAACAATCATTAAAACCGCCATCTCAGACCAGCTGTTAAGCATACTTTCAGACAGCTTAACCGTCTTAAAAGTTTCCTTACTATTCATTGTTGAATCTGTTTGCTACATCAAAATCAAATCAATATTCACAAACTATGACTATAACAGCCAAAAAAGGCACACATAAATTTTTGAAGCAAACCCAACCAGGCCTACATTGGAAAGAAGTTTTTTAGGTCTGTCCAGAACAATTATACAGATAATTCTAAATCTTTCAAAAGTTCAAATAGATAAGGTTGTTAAGTTTGTGTTTGAAAGTATTTCTAGATTAATCCTGAATCCTGATCCATTCAATCCCTTGTATCAAAAGACCGGGAAAGCATATGTCATGTATGTATGAGTGTTTTAAAGAGAATACACTAGAACTCCAACCACCCGAATTAATTGAGGCTGTTCCACATTAGGATAGTCTGACATTTTAATGATTGGATTTTTATCAACAATTTTGGGTATTATTTTTTTACCTGTCTTTGCTGCAATTGCGGAAGACTATGATGACATTTTCGTGGCTGCGGGAGATGATGATGATGTTTTCTTACTGTAAAGACCAAACCACACCAACATCCGCCGCGGGACTACCGTGCGCGGACGTTTTACCTCGAGCCATCCCACACCAAAAGTACCGTGTTCGCAGCAGGAGTTTTGAGATGATTTTCATCACAATTTGTTTTACATAGTAAACACATCTTACCTATTTAGTATGACATGTAAATTTTCTGGGTTTTTTAAAAGTAGTTAAGTGTTTTGGAAGTAATTGAATGTTTATTAATTTGTTAGTGTACGTTAAAAAGTTAACTGTAATTACTTTTTTATTTGAGACCATAGCCTATGTTTGAAGTGCAAGCATTTTAAATATGGTTAAGAATAAATTATCCATTTTCACTTGTGTTTTGAAAGTTATTTTTTGCTACCCTACAAAAGACTAATTACTTTTATAATAAAAACATACATTGGAATATTTCTTTAATCCAATTACGAACATTTCAAAACTAATGGCAGTTTTTTGCTAGGCCCTCTATTAAAAGTTCAAATTTACATTGATTTTATAATTCTGGTTGTTGCAAATTACAGTTGATGGACAAAAAGAAATGTTTGTTTGTTTACGTCGACAATGTAATAAATTTTATAGGAAACGTTTAATTTGTACTGTAAACATGTCTTTTTGCATGGTAAACAATCATGAATTTTTGCTGGTGATAAACATGTTAGGAAAACAATTGATTACATAGTTTTATGAACCTAAAATACAAAACAAAAAACATCAACAAACAAAAGAAACATGTTAAGTTTAATTTTAAACTGTATTAAACTAAACTAAATTACTTTTAAACTTTAAAATGGCTTAGCCATTTGAGATGCACTTTTGAGCGTGTGCTAGACAAAACTACCTCTAGTAGTCTCAAAATATCGCTCAGCAAGCGGTCGTGGCGGACACTAGTGCTGTGTGACTTGGCCCAACATGGTGAGCGATTTTTCAAAGATCGCTCCCGCCTCGTTAGCGAGCTTGGTGTGGCATTGCCTTAAGCGATTTGAAAAATCAGTGATTCGGAGGGTTGGTTTTCTACTGTACCTTACCTAGGTATTTCAGGATACAATAGAAAAATCCATAAAAAAGAGTGATGTGTTTCTGCAGAAGTGTTGATTGAATTGAAAAAAAAAACATCAATTAATCTTTTTAAAATATTCAATCAAAGTTAGAAAAAGTTATGGGTTCCAGTAAATTCTAACAAAAGGAAGATTTACCATGAGGTGTGTTCCACTGTCAGATAAAATTCCCAAGAGTAACATTCTTACTTAGTCTGTAAAACACACAGCTTGTCAATTCTCTCATTTCCTTAATTTTTACTTCTAACTTTAAAATAATTTTGTAAATTTTAAAAAAGTTCATAAAATATTTCCCACTGTTTTAATGTATAATACTTAAGTATGCTACAAATAAAAAAAAAAAAAAAAAAAAAAACTCTTTAACCTCTTACTATATGATTATCAAAGAATAAAGGTTGAAACACACATACAGTGACTGGGAGCGGAGTGGCGCGATTTAGAGCGACAAAATCAAACATATACAATCAAGTAGTAACGTGCGGTTAACTTTGGAACAATCTTGGTTGCTTTTCTAGCGTTTGGGAGCGGAGCAGGCAACGATCTTGTGGACATTTATAGTTTCACTTTCGCCAGTAGGCCGCTCTGTACACCCATTCTACCTGAGACGGAACCTACCCAGAGCGTTTTGGAACCTTCTCGAAACTTCGAACCTTCTCTTTTTGAATGAATGTATTCAAAGGTTGGGTAGACATGTATTGCATGAATCAGGAACTGATCTATGTGAGAAGCTATTTTAAAACACGCAAACTGTATACAAGGACTTATATTTTCTTCTCAATCTTAATGCTTAATTGATCTTTGAAAAACAATTAGGTTTTTTAGTAGAACAACAAAAACTTAATAATCTTCATAAAATTTAATATAAGATTATTTTTTTATGTCCACTTTGGTTGCATTTTGAATCACCTGGAGCTAAATTGTGTGATCATTACCTTAACAAACAATTAATGTAATCAGCAACTTCAATAACATCATCAGGACATAATTAGGTTTAACTCCGTCCAGCTTCCAACCTTAGGGTCATAAGTTTCATTGCAACATCTTTCAAGTTGAGACGTAAGGCTTCACCGAGTAATGTATTTCCGTATTGATTAACCAAGTTGATAAAAATACTTAACTCAGCAGAGGCAATTTTGAATTTTAGAATACCAATCACTTTTTCATGCTTTCTTTTTAATTTCGAGAAGAGCACTGAAATACTCTTGAGAAAATCAACAACTTATTTATGACCTTCTTTTTGTGCCAAGTCAAATGGAGTGAATCCCTTCGGCCCTCGATATTCCAGGCAAGCACCATGACTTAACAGTAGTTTGCATATTTCCAAATGGCCAGCTTTGGCAGCTACATGTAAGGCACTGTAGCCTGCTCTATTCACAGTGGATATAGTTGCTCCTTTATCCAGAAGAATCTCAAATAATTCTTTGTTACCTACAGCTGAGCATATGTGAAGAGGGTAATCACTTGAATCTTCAAACTGACAATTGACTTCTGCACCTCGCATTAAAGCACTTTTGACAGACACAATCTTATTGTCTGTAATACTTTGTTTGAACAGAAATTGGGCCTTCAACAGTTTTAGGACTTTTAAAGAACTTTTGAGTGATCCGAATTGAGGAAGGTCGTGAAAAGGATAACTGTATTTCCAAAATAATCTTAGGATTTCAGGACAATCACTTAAATAATCTTAGGATTTCAGGACAATCACTTTTTATTACATCATTATACACTGGATTTCCTTCAAACTTTTGAAAGCAGTTAGCACCATGAGCTAAGCATAGCTCCACTAAATCATGTACTTTATGACATATTACAAGCCGCAAAATAGAACCATCTCTTGGGCTTAACGGCTGATTTAAATCTCCCCCAAATAGTATGTATTCCTCAAGTGCAATCCAATTTTTGGAATAAAATATAAGATGAACAGGCAACTTTCCTTCAAAATCTCTGGCATTGATATCTGCAATGTTTTCTAAAAGGCATTTGATTATTTTTCTATGATTTGACTTATGGTTTTCCTTTAATATTACAGAATTCATTGAAAATGCAACATGGAGAGGTGATACATTATGTATTAGATCTATGGCATTTACATTAACCCCGCTAGTCAACAACAGCTTTGTTGCTTGAAGGTTAGAAGTGTATATAGCAATCTGAAGTGCTGTGGCAAAGCGTAGATTGAATTGAAAAAAAAAAACATCAATTAATCTTTTTAAAATATTCAAAGTTTAAAAAAGTTATGGGTTCCAGTAAATTCTAACAAAAGGAAGATTTACCATGAGGTGTGTTCCACTGTCAGATAAAATTCCCAAGAGTAACATTCTTACTTAGTCTGTAAAACACACAGCTTGTCAATTCTCTCATTTCCTTAATTTTTACTTCTAACTTTAAAATAATTTTGTAAATTTTAAAAAGTTCATAAAATATTTCCCACTGTTTTACTGTATAATACTTAAGTAAGCTATAAAAAACAAACAAAAAAACTCTTTAACCTCTAACTATATGATTATCAAAGAATAAGGGTTGAAACACACATACAGTGACTGGGAGCGGAGTGGCGCGATTTAGAGCGACAAAATCAAACCTATACAATCAAGTAGTAACGTGCGGTTAACTTTGGAACAATCTTGGTTGCTTTTCTAGCGTTTGGGAGCGGAGCAGGCAACGATCTTGTGGACATTTATAGTTTCACTTTCGCCAGTAGGCCGCTCTGTACGCCCATTCTACCTGAAACGGAACCTACCCAGAGCGTTTTGGAACCTTCTCGAACCTTCTCTTTTTGAATGAATGTATTCAAAGGTTGGGTAGACATGTATTGCATGAATCAGGAACTGGGAACAAATGGTGAAATTCACCATGTACCTCCCTTCCTCTATTCACTCCATGCAACCACTCCATCCATGCATCGGTTTGAAGCACTCAAAATTAATGTTTTAGCCTAGTGTTTTGCTGTGCTGCAAATTGCGTGCTTACTATGCAAACTTACTATGTCAGGGTGTCTACCAACCGGGAAAACCGGGAATTGTACTTAATTTTTTACTGGCCATGAAATGTACGGGAATTGTCCTTAAATACCAGACTATGTCCTTAAATTTTTAATGGGCCATAATTTTATCAATCGCTAGTTGGTTAGGAGCACATAAAAGGTTTATCAGATGTTTGTTTACATTTTCATAATTTATTACTAGAGTAATCTATATACTTATTTAATACGCAAGCAGATCTTTTGTGACAATTACTCCTCCGAAACTACTGAACCGATTGACATGATTTTGGTGTCATTGGAAAGAGCGTAACGTGAAGTTGTGCAGGAGACTTTTTTTATAGGGAAATAATTAGAGAGTGAGGCCCTGGGGCCCTTTAAAGTTTTGTATTTCTCCATAAGATTAACATGGGAAACATTGTATGAAACTCCAGCTGTTGTCATAAATGCTGTTCTGCTATTTAATTTAATTTGTTTACAAGGAGAATTGTTTCTTGGTGCCATGTGGTCAATGAGTTATACTTTTGCATATATTTTAAATGATATACACTATATAAAATGATGGTACTGTAATACATTAAGAGATATTCATTTAAATAATCAATAGGTACGATTGAGCCTTTGCCTATATGTTTCCTGGTAAGTGTGTTGTAACTGTTCCTTATAGTATATTATAGTATCTTAAAGTAAAACCAAATTATTCTTTTCTGCATTCTCACCCCGTAGCGAAGCACGGGCAGAGCAACTAGGTATGCAATAAAAACCCCATTAGCAGTCTCAAACCCATTAATATTTTATTACGGCAATCAAGTACTTCCAAGAACTGTTGACTCAGTAGTAGCTTAGCTCAAAAGTTTTTTCACTTTTATTTCTTTACAACTTCTTTATTTATTACTAGAGTAATCATTATTAGATCCCAAACATATTTTATCATGGAAATAATGGTTTTATAATGGCTGTTAAATTTCACTTCTTACTTGTAACATTCAAATTGCCGCTGGCCATTGCCTAGTGCCATAAAACTGTTTATGGTTTCATATAAAACATGTAACTAATCTACAGTCTTATTTTGTAAGTTAAACCCCTTTGTTATGGATATTTTATCTTTCAATTGACAAAACCACAAGAATTGTTGTTTGCATTAATTTTTTATCACTACGTATGCCTACTTGGTTTCAAATTATGTCATTGCATTTTCTGTATCTTTGTACATTGTTGGCGTTCAGGTTTAAATTTTTTTTATTTCCCATATTTATTTATTGCGTTGTATGCTTTAAGCAATCTAAATCTTATGAACTAGGATGATGATATTGTAGTGACTTTGCTGATATTATAACCTCATTGTTTGTTACTCAGTTATAGGCCCTCCTAAATAATTAGGCCTAGGCCTGGGTATTTTGATTCTTTGAAACAGCTGTAAAATATACTAAGAAAATGTAATTGAGCCTAAGATTAACTAATGATTGCTATGTGTCGATATTAACTTTGCAGATGAAAAGACAATAATCTTACTCTGTGCTTACTGGTAGCCGCTTACCATACCGATTTTGTACCTAGAACCGAGTTACAATATATTCATGATGCATTACAGATTTTTTTTCAAAAGTAGTCGAGAACCTAACGCTGTGCCAGGGCGAATAATGCCAAATTAATCCGCCTGGATCGGATAAGCTATGTTATGATGGAGATATTTATGATTTTGTCGCTATTGCAGGAGACAATGATTGCGTTTTTCTGTTACACTATAAAAGCTGTACCTAAAGTATATGTTTGTTTACTTTCAATAAGTTTCTATTTTGAAATTTAATTCTTGTCTATTATTATTTACTTTTCTCTCTGGAACAACTACAATGAAGAACAAGATTAATACAGTTTGACAAATCAGGAATATTATTCTGTTATCACATCGACAAAAGTCCTTAAATGTACGGGAATTGTCCATGAATTTTTTATCCAGAATGTAGTAGACACCCTGTATGTGATATCTTGGAAATGATTGAGCTCCCATTCGTGTCGCTCTCGCTAGTCGCTGCATGTGTGCGACGTCATTCGCACCACTACAGCTCGCTCTGGATCGCTCCGCTCCCAATCGCCGTATGTTTGTTTCTACCAGAAAGGTTTTAGAAGTGTCAGATGTTTAAAAAACAATACTGATGCAAGATTGGGTAAAAAAATGACCGTTGAAAATAAAAATAATCTTTTCTAACTTTAATTAATTTAAAATTAATTAATTTAATTAATTTTTTTAATTAATTTTTTCTATCTTTGTTCAAAATCAGCTACCATCTCCAAGGGACAACACGGTATTGGACTATTCTCGTTGGCAGCAACATTTGATTGGAGTATTGCAGTTTGACATTGCCTACCATGCTGATACAGAGATGGGTATTGTTTTATAATTTTTATACCTTTTGAGCCATTTTAATAAAGCCATTCAACTAACTGTACTTTATTATTTACTGTGTGACCAAGTAAGTCAACAATTAATCTTTGTAGAGAAAGCACTTAAGTAAGATATTGCATAAATCTTGTACGGTATCTGCTCACCCTTTGCTTTTCTTGATATGTTACATGCACAGGCCTGAGTGATAGGGTTACTGCAAGGTTAATTGCTGCCAACCTCTTTTTTATAATAAAAAAAAATATTGTTAACTTATTTATTTTAACTTTATGTATGACCTAGAGTCACCTTTGTTAACAAGATTTTACTGTATTTAAATAAACCATAGGTTTAAAGATTGTTTAAAGAGGTTTAAAGTCGAATTGTTCCAGATCCACGCACTATCTTAACTTTGGATGGAAGACTGGGTTACCGCAACCGTGGGGATCCTGATGGAGATTGGAAATATTACGCTTCCTCAGTTGAGCAGAGAATACTCGATTGTTCAATAGAAAATGTGAGTCAGAATATGTTCAAAACAAAACAAATAGAATGTGTTCTCAGTCATATCTCTCGCATCAATCCTTAAGAATGTTCAGAAAAATACCAATACAACTTCACCATTTTATTTAATCACTGAGATGAGCATGATTATACTTTATAGATTACAGTTAAACATTGATTATCAAAGGTCGACCGGGCGACCGATCAACCGTGGTCAATAGATACCTCTAAAATTTTACATCACAGTTTATTTGACAAAAATAAAATGAAAGCAGAACAAAGAAATATAGATTGAGATCTCCAAGAAGACGTTACACTAGCGCTGACAATTGTCTGCTGTGTGTTATGTCAGAACAGATTTCATTATCTCCAGGACTAGAGGTGTGTGCGGATATCCGGATCCAAATTGAATCCAAATTTGATATCGACATTATCTGTTAAATATCCAACTTTTTTGGATAGACCGTGTACGGTATTATGACTGATAAAAAGTTTTTGACTGATAAAAAAAATCCTCACAAATTAATAACAATCATTAGTTGCAACTTTCCAAGGACGAAATTTCAACATAAAGTTTCCATCCTTATTACAGCGATCGACGAGTATTTGTCTATGACACTATCAAAACAATCATATGAGCGTCGGCGCTGTGAAAAATAATGGAACCAACAAACAAATACTGTAACAGCAATCGATATACTACCTAGCATATAGTATTGCATTACGATCAGAAACAAGTTTCTTATTCTAATGACACTATCGACACATTAGACATAAAATGAAAGAGTGCAGTTAAGCTAAATGAAGGGTGATTTTTTTTAGTGGTGCGATTTTTAAAACGGAATAAAACAATGAAAAATAAATTGTATTGACATAAAAATGGATTTATTTTAACCACAGTGTTATGACGTTCGTGTTTAAAAATTATTTCCAGATCCTTTATAGTATCTATTATGGAGTGGTTTTTTGATAAAATACATAAAAGGGAATCAACTTCAAAAGAATTGCACTTAAACAAATTACTATATGAAGAAATATAATAGGGATGGTCAAGTCTCGAAATTTCGGGAAATTTTCGGGAAATTTTAAATCTCGTTACACGAGACGAGATTTCTTTTTGGCCGAGATTTTTATCGAGACGAGAATAAAAAAAAAAAAAAAAAAAAAAAAAAAAAAAAAAATTAAAAACGCTTGCAGAAAGTCAATGCAATACCCGCAATACAGGAGCGTGTTGTAGTTGCGTTTCCTTTGCGAAGGCGTTCTTATTTAATTAATTCTATAAATGTAAATATTACTTTAATTATTTTAATAATATTACTTTAATAACATTTGAGAAGTTTAGTTAAGTGTATGCAGTGTGAGGAATGTTTTATTACTATAAAAAGTCAAAACAAGTAACTATTTTATAAAAATTAATACAGTATTGCTTTTATTTTATGATTTATTTTATTTTAGGATAAGTTGAACTCTATCCTAACTGATATCACTATGTTTCCTAATCGTAGGCATTTTTAATAAGTTAGGCGTGATTAATAAAAAAATGTTATGCTGATGTTTTTTAATAAAAGATTGTAAATATTCTTGCCTATTATCATTATTTTTGTATTTAAACAGTCATCTAACAATGTTACAAAATCAGGTAAAAACTTTGAACGTGCATTTCCCGTTGTGTATGAGAAGGGAAATCCCGTCTCGATCTCGTCTCGAAATTTTATGAGAAATAAAAAATCTCGTCTCGTCTCGTCTCGAACTAAAAATTCAATCTCGTCCATCCCTATAATATAATGTATCAAACAAAACAACAAAGTTTAGTGAGAGTGATGTATAACGGCTTTCAAAAGTGTAAAAACAGTGGTTTTTAACGCATTTAAATTATAATTCAGTATACTTGAACTTATATTTCAGAGGAGGGTATTAGCATGAATATCTAATAAGCTAAGTAAGAACTGTTAGTACTAGGCTCTGGTGGATGGCAACTATTTTGTAAATACATACCACACTTTCTAGTGGGGAAAAACATTAACAACATTCACGATTATGACAAGAGGAGAAATTGTGTAACCATGGTAATTATTTTAATACCCAGTTTTATTAGGAACTTTATTAGTTATTTACTCTTATTTGTTCTATTTTTATACTTTTCAGAAACGGGATGGTTATCATTACAACTGCTCTTTTATCCCCCTGTTTGAGCTTGGATCCTTGCATCATGATTTTTACTTGCTGAACATTCGTCTTCCTGTTGATCATGATAAAGGCATGAACTTGGGATTGGGGCACATCGAAGACATTTGGCTTGTGGTATGTATTTCTTGATATTCTACTATCTAAAATCTTAACTAAAACCTTGAACTAAACTCTAAATACCTTGAAGTAAGTACCTGCACGGTTTATCTTGTTATTTAATTGCCTAAGATAGGTCAGCAGTGCTGGGTCAAAAATGTCTAGAGGTTGAATGTTGAAAGTTCTGATTCTCGTTCCATTGAAATTCCCCTTAGTTCTAAAATTTGTTTCCAATTTCAATTATTTTGTTCATAATAACTTTTGTTAAAAAGTGATAGGATAAGTAAGTGAAACGTCGCCGAAAACAGTTACTCTTGGCGTATTGAGTGTTTGATTGCTTTTAGGTGTGATTTTTGTTGTGGAGCAACCATGATTAATATTATTATTAGTTCTTTGAAAGCATCCTCGCACACTGTTTTTTGGAGAATCATTGGTCGGAGTTTCTGTACAGTTGGAAAGGGCGGAATAAGTGTTATGGCAAATTGTAGGGTTTATAAAATCAGCACATAACCTTGCAGGCATATTGCTTACACTCTTAGCCTGAGTTATTTGATGAGTCTTCTGTCTAGACCGTTGTAAAACGTATCAAAATTATTGTAAACCTCAAAAGAATCTTGTTGCTTTGTCAACTTCATCCCGCTAAGACAGGGTTGTCAGCAACCTGGAATTCCGGGAAAATCGGGAATTATGCGTGAATTTTAACCGCCGTGAAAAAACCGGGAAATATGCATGAAAATAGTACTATTCAGGGATTTTCCGTGAATTTAAACTATTATCATTATGTTTGTTTATTTACCAGGAATTTTATAGTTCTAACAATTTTGAGCCAAATTTATCCGAAAAATTGTTATAGTGAATGTATATTTACGGAAGATTCAGATTAGAAATGAACTAGATTCGAGAATCGAATCACGGGTCCGCCGACAGAATACGCCGACTCGCCGTCAGCTCTATAATAATAGCATGAAGCGTGTAACAGGGTAGCAGCAGTGTCGATGTACGCATAGCTGGAACAAAGCCAAACTTGGTCTCAAAATTCTAGGTCATGGCTTGAATTACGTCCTAGTAGAATATTAATTTATTTTAATAGGGATAGGTCGATAACAGAATTTCTCGATTCTATACCAGTTCTCAAATATTACTCTCGATTCTTCATAACACAAGATTACATTTTTAGTTCTATATAAAATGTAATTTTGGTCATGTTTGCTATTTTTAGGTTATGTGATTTGCCCACTGGAGATTAAAGTTTCGTAGAAACGTCAATTGTAAAATCAGCTGATTTAGTCATTATGGCTCGAAAACACGAGCGAGAATTAATAAAGCGGGAATGAGCTAATTTCTGTATTGCTTACAGGTGTGGCAATATGATCAATTATAATATACAGTGTTAGGGTAGATTGCTTTCCTGGCTTTCTGACCCGTAAAGCTTATCTTTTTTATTCTGACACTTTTTAATCGTCCTATGATCATAATGTGGTTCACATCAAAAGGATATGAGGGCTATTATTAAATTGGAAATCAAATTGTACCTTCTTGCAACTAAGAGAAGTTTTTATAAATGTTAATTTTTTTTTCAGGCAATCAACCAAACTGGGGGATTCACTAAAGTTTGGGTGTCATTGAAGCTGATATTTTTTCCCTTTATCATCGGGATCATGGTATGGTTTTGGAACCGAGTACATCAGCTGTCCAGGGCTCCAGTTCTATTGGAATACATGCTTTTGTTCCTCGGCAGTGCACTCACCTTCCTTAACAGTCAGTACATCTCCTGGTTACTCATAATAAAATTGATAGTTTTAACTATTTCTATAGACAACAAGAAACTAATGTTCTAATCAGTATGAAATATACTCAAACTCAAAGTAATTATTAGTCAAATCACAAGAAGAAAGTTATGTATAGCATAGTGCCATGTGAGGGCTGAATTTAAACCAAAATAAAAAAATCGGTGACATAAAGAATAGAATGGGGCTCATGTGTTTGTGAAACATGTCTGTTAGCATTATGAAATCGCTGTGGATTAGACAATCAGCTAATTTCCAGTCAAATTTGATAGACATTGACATAAATAATTTGCAAGTTAGCGCCAGTCAAAACCACCATGGGAAGAGAAATTGTTGGTGGTTCTGGTACCCCAAAAATCCCCCAATTCACAACAAATACAGGGTTAATAAAAAGTCTGGAGACCCCCTGTCAATTTTTTAACGGCCCATATTTGAAAAACTAAACTCTGCACACCTTTATGGCATGTTATGAAGTACTTTTTGGGCATAACTGCTACTTTGTGTTTATCCCCAAAACGGGGATTTTGGGGGAAACGCAAAAATTTCAAAAGCTAAGACCCATTGAGAGAAGTTATAAACAAAATAAAACTAACAACGCAAACTAGGGGTCTCTATCTCAACCCAGTAAAAAATGGCACTCCATTGAAATTCTCAGAAGTGAAATTTTAACTTACAGCTTTTCAAGTTTCAACTTTCCAAGGCCAGTTATTATTATTATTTGTTGGAATATTATATTCCTGAACTCACTCTAATATACAATTGCAAGTTTTTACATTGCTCTTCATAATTATTTTGATGTTAAAATCATTGTTTAATATGCTGAAATTTCAGTGCCCCTGGAACTACTGACCCTGTTCTTCGACCTACCATTCATGCTGCTCCTCAGTGATATTCGTGAAGGAATATTTTATGCTGCTCTCCTTAGTTTTTGGCTTGTGTTTGCTGGGGAACATCTAATGGTATGGTTCTTATTACTGCTGTAGCCCTACAATATTTTAATTTTTAATCAAACTTAATTTTTTTTGTGTCATTTAGTTTTGCTAATGTGTTTGAATCAGTCAGTCGGAAGCGCCATGGATTTCGGGCCCAAGGCAGCGATGTCGTGGGTTCAGATCTATCTGGGGGGTTTGTTGTGTCTGCCACAACTTTTAATCTTTTACTTTACCAGCTCACCCGCAGCTTTGCTGGATATGTTCCACGCACAGGTCTCTGTGACCAATGGAGACGGGAGGACGCAAGGTTAAAAGATGCGTTATTTCACGATCCCATTGCTGCGCCGTTCCGTGATCCCAGTTACTAACACGTCTCAACAATGCTGGTCAACAGATGTTAAATATTAACAGTTTGTTGTTGAGTATGGGAATTCAATACAGATAGTTCATCTGTATGTTTGTTAGGTAATTTTAGAGTGGAGAGGGGTTGTTCACAAACAATAGTTGCCTTTATAACTTTATTTAAGTAATTTACAGGTAAAACCAATCAATTATATTTTTGTTATAGGTTAACTTGGGCTGCAATACAGTGATTTTTTAAACTTTTTTGTTTTATTTATAATTATTCTAAATACGGTTCAGTATGAAGACTAATGTCTTGCCACTCGTGTAAATCATAACATGATACACATACAAATAGCCTTTATAGCATAAAATGAAGGTTATAACAGTTTTTGTCTCGCAAACTCTAAAATTAGGCCTTAGAAACTATATTATCTTGCCTAAAACCACATCGTAAAATATTCAGAGTGTTTATGTGCAGTTTTTAATAACTTACATTTACAGTACATTTTAGCGAATTTCCCATATAGGGAATAAGCTATTACAGTAGTTTGCCTACTCATGGTAAGACCTGGACCTGGGACCGATTTACTTTTTCGTTTTGAGGTCTCTAGAAGCCAAAAACACAATCTGTTCAAATTCATATGTATACATGTGTCGATTAGCACGATAACTCGAGCAAAAATGATCCGATTTTGATGAAATTTGGTATGTATATGTGGAAACCTACAATAATTCGAACGAGTTCGCGAACCAGCATGATCGAACTATGGGAACGAGGGTTTATGGGGTAAAAAAAGGTGTTTCCTATTTGTGACCCAAAAAACATAAAAATTAGCAATTACTATGTTATGCATTTATTTCTTACTAAACTATTAACATTTTACAAAAAAAAAACTTTTTTACCCTCCCTGTAGAAGCAAACCTATTATTTTTTAAACAAATTCTATTTAAATAGGAAATAAATGTAATATTTTTAACGTTTTATTGTAAATCCAATCAGGCAAATGGAAATTCGCTTAGTCTGCCTGCAGGTTTGCTGCGGCGGAGTGTTAATATATTTTATAGAATAGATTTATCTGTGGAATTCATTGGCTTTAAAATAAAAATAAAATTCTCTGTAGGCCTAGCACAAAACTTTTTGATGCACCTGTCGGCTTGGCCATGTAACCTGATGTCAAATATGAGCCAATAAACTGTAAAAATATATAACTGATATTAACTATGATAACAGTAAGCCTTGAAAATGGTCTGGCTTATATAGGATTCTATTGGTAATGTAATGTATATCGTTTTCAAATTTAGATTTTTAATTTTGGTATTTTCTATGACGTGTCAGTATGTGTGTTTATTTGCAATGGTTTTGAATTACTTGAGATGACAAGATTGTGAACAAAATGTTGTATATAAACAGCAGCAATACTTGGGCATGATAAACTGTCGTTATAGTATTCGTTTTATTACATATATTATACTGTATTTTATAATTATGGAAATCGTAGATATGTAGGTCTATGTATTTAACCTCTCATACAAATCAAACACGACAAGCAATGCTCGGTCACCTGGTACTTATTAATTAATCTGCAACACTGTTATGTTTCATGTCTTTGGTGGATCCTGTTCTTCGTTGTAGATCCAGGTAAGCTGTACGGTTTTTAACAATCAAACATGTATTATTTTACGTTGTATGTCTCCTTTGTAATAAATCCTACACAATATTACAAAAATTAACCGGCAGTTGCATAAGAAAACTTTGCAATTATTTCAAAATTCGGATTATAGAAGATCTTTAAGAACATCTAAACATATTTTTATAATTATAAAAGTAGAAATTTGTACCCAAAAAGTGTTTTATATTAGGAAATTGGTAACCTTTATGGCAACCACATTCTCAGCCTAGCCGGTATCTACCGTTTGGCACTAATGAAAATTTCTGTCAACTAATATTAATATTAGATATTAATATTTAAACTTTGTTCACATGGTTATTTTTATATAAAGTAAATTTTGAATTTATTACTTTATTTTCATTATTCAATTCAAATTACTGCTTAAAATGAATTTTTGGGATTTTTTAAATTAACATCGGTAATTCTTCAACCATTATTTAAATTTAATAATATGCCCTTTAAATTACTAATGTTTGATATCAATGAACTTACTTTATTATTTGCTTCTTTTGTAAAATGTGAAGTTATTTTCAGTTGTCTATTTGATTTTAGGAATCACAAAAGAACCACCTGCGAGCATACTGGAAGCACCTGAGCGGAGTAGGCATCGGATGCACTTCGTTGTTCATCTTTGACATGTGTGAGAGAGGAACACAGCTGAGAAATCCGTTCTATTCTATATGGGTCACAGATCTAGGCACCAATCTGGCCGTATCCTTATATGTAGGCCTAGTTAGTTAAAGTAACTTGACTGCTCTGATAACCACCAGCGTTGTAGCTGTAGTCATAGTAGGGAGAACTTTAAATCAATCTAGAGTACATTGGAACTATAATCAATAAAACTCAAATCAGTATATTTCTGCAACATTAATTTTTGTAGGCCTATTAATGCAGGGAAAATATTTTGTATGTTACCTGAGGTTAATTTTAGCAATGAGGGGCTACTAGATTTATACTGTAAATAAATTATTTAAATATTGCGTAGAATTAAGATGTACTGTATTTTGTTAATGCTTCCTTAGTCCAAATTGGCAAATTGTATAATTTTTGTTTAGATTTTGTGCAGTTTAGTGTTATTTTGTATCATCAATGTCTGTAACATTCAAGACAGCATCTGTATTCACTGGCTTATAAAAACCTTAACGTGAAAACAGCTGACATTCATCATTCTGGCGGGAATATCTGCAGGCCTCTACTTCCTGTTTCTATCGTACATGATCTGGCGAGTATTCTGCAACATCAGCGCCAAGCGAGCCTCTCTACCCTCCATGTCTTCCCTACGTCGCCTCCACTACGAGGGAGTGATCTACCGGTTCAAGTTCCTCATGATCGCTACTCTCCTCTGCGCTGCTATGACCGTCATCGGATTTATCTTAAATCAGGTAACAAGTTTTGATTTTTTAAATGGACATTATCAAATTTAAAAGTTACAAGGATTTTTTTTCAGTCACATCTGTGATTACCAAGGAGAATCTCAATTAATGAAATTTAAATTAGTTTATATGGCCATGGGAGTAAGAGTAAGAGTAAAACAAGTATACGCCAACTTTAGTATCAATATTTCTAGGTCTTTTTTTTCCTAATCGATGCCTATAGAATTGCATTTATTTTGATATTATGGTTACCAGTACCTTAAATTATTTAGACATTTGTTATCTAGATTGGTGTTCCATCAAATTTGTCGAAATAAAGTACACTACACTTGCTCGTTTTCATAAGTGCAACCATGTTTAGGTATTACCTGACTTAAAGATCAGTGGCTGTGAGAATGTATAAACTAATATCGTCTTCATCTATTTAGGACTAGTATAATTCTCACTGACTTTGGTAGATTGAGTTTGCATTCTGATGGAGTTTATTATTAATGCCTTTTGCTATCATTAACCTTCTATCTCTAATTAGATGACTAGTTTTGCAGAATCATTGTTTAAATTTCAAATTACATAAGATTATCAAAACTGTAAAAAACACATCTTTGAAAGAAACTTTTAAGCGCATTAATAAATGGACATATATTTAAAAAAGAAAAAATTTGGTATCATGATCGCTTACATTTCCTGTCAAATAAAAGAATAAGTCTCAACACCAAATGGAAAGCATAACAGATTTTGTTACAATTTGGCTGACTATTTTATGAGATTTTAAAATGGAGCATTAATGCTTTGAAACTAGTAATCTAAAAATAGATTAATGATTGACAATGACAGAAAGGTGCTTAACATATATTATAGTTATTGATTCAATCCTGAGAGCAAAAAGAAAAGAAAAAAAATGCTAGAGCTACTGAACTCTTTCAGGTTGATAAAAAATCCACAACTAAAAATTCACAACTTAAAATTAGTTTGAAAAAAAAATATCTGTGTAAATTACAGCAGTTTTTAAGTGTTATAATTGATATAATTTTAAATCATAAATCAGACAAGGTTTTTTCAATGGACCTAACATAATATGTGTAATCTATTTTAATATTTGCTGAATGAAAATATCTGATTGGCAGGTATCAGAGGGTAGGTGGAAGTGGGATGAAGATTTGGACTTGGAATACACCTCAGCTTTCTTCACTGGAGTTTACGGAATGTGGAACATTTACATCTTTGCTCTTATCGTCCTTTACGCTCCATCCCATAAGCAGTGGCCATCCGAGCACGGTTTGTATTTTATGCAATAATAGATAAGGGATAAAAGGGAAAAATTACAAATGTCCAGCCTTGTGTTTTAGCTTAGAAATACATTAGGGTATTTGAAGTAGAAAACCTTCAAAACAAACTTTGCTCGTAAGTACAAACAGTCACAAAACAACTTATATAAATACTACTAAGTATGTACAAAAATATTATTTAGTTATTGATTTAAAAGTCAGGATGCTTTTTAAATAATAGCTGTAAAGCTACTGAGATGTTGTAGGTTTCGACTCAAAACCAGTAAGATTCAAAAGTTTTCTCATAACAAATCAAATTCCAATAGGTACATAAAAAAACATAACTCATTTAGTGCAGTTTCGGAATACCAAGCATATTAGACTAACAAATACTAAATTATTCAGTGTCCACTGTGTTTGAAAATATTATGGCTCCTGTGTTAATGTCTAAAAATCTTGCAGGAAAATAATTTTAAATATCTCTCAAGTCCAAATGAAACACAATATATTGCAGTAGAATGTTTTAATTTATTGTGGGTGTTTTTGTGATATTCCAGATATATCAAACACAAATGATGAAATAGAGTTCTCCCGGTTGCCGACTGAAGCAAGTGAAATATCTGCTCTCACGTCTTTTGTCAACAAGGCATCCATAGACTAAAACTGGTCGGTCCAAGGATTGGAAGCACTTCATCTTGCTGTAAGGTTGTACCCAGATTTGTTAATTACGTTTTACATATTTCCAATTTAGATGTATTTTTTTACTACCTAGTTGTATTGTTTTATGATCCAAACCATCTACCTACAAGCTTACTTTTACCTTTACTGTCTTAAAAGAAAATAATATTTTTATTAATAATTTTTTTAACCAATAAAATAAATATCTCATTGATGTATCTATGTTTAGATTAATTTAAGATTATTATTGTACCTGAACTAATCTCAATCTGTGAGGTAGATTTATAAATCTCAAATGAAATGTTTAATCTCTAGCAATTTCAATGTCAATGTTGTCTGGTTTAGTTTCAGCTTTGATGTTTGTAAAGAAGAATTGAGACTTCATGGTTAATAATAATAATAGTTAGTTTTGTCACTTATCAGTATTAAATTTAAAAATCTGACTGTTGTAATGAATGTGCTAGTAACTATTAGTCTAAATGTCTTGTATATTATGTGTATGTTCCCCATACTTGGTATGTCCATTTACATGTATTAATGAAATTTCCGTGTTAACTTATATTAAGGTTGCACAAATATTATGGACTTGCTAGTTGGAAAAAAACTGTACGTAGCTAAAGATGTGTTTTACATCATTTTTTTATATTGGTATTTCCCAGGAAAACGTGTCGGGTTCAGGTAGCTACTGATTACACTATTCAAAACAAGAGTTAAGTTTCATGAGGTATTTTATTTTTAAATGTTAAGTTTCTAGGTTGCTCTGTGCTGTATCATTTTATAGTTATGATTACGGTACGATTTTATTTGTTATTAATTAATTGATTTTTAACACCATCACTACCAACATACAAAGATGGAATATAAGGAGCTTCTCAGATATTTGGAAAGATTGAACTTTTTCTCAGTCTATTCTGCATCAACGAGATTGAAAAATTTAGAGTCCAACAAACTATCGGACCCGTTCAACCTCTAACTCGGACCAGACAAGTGATAGACACATAACTAGGTCTTTGTAGATCCATTAATTCAGGCCTAGATAGTATACAGTTGTAATTGGAATGAAGATATAAGATTCTTTCACCTAGACCTAGGGCATACTAACTTTGCGCACAGGTTTAGTCCTGCTAATTGAGATGGATAATACATATATTCCAATCTGTGGTCTGAATAGGTAAATACACACATATCCTCTTCCATTTGGGCTTTACTTGGCTTCAGGTGTCGACTAAGCATCACAATTTCCACCTATCCTTTCACACTTCCTTTCATTCCACATCTCACTCTTCTCTTTTCCACACCCCCTTCATGGTGGATAAGTAATACATACTTATAAGTGATAAACGGATAAGTACCCATTCACCTTCTTCTAGGTCTTCCTTTGTTAAGAATTCTTCTCACATAGCCAAACCATCTTTGGCTTGGTCTGTAGTAGTATTGTTTACATGTTTCTCCACTTATACAATCAGTATTTCCTTGATCATTATTTTTCCCCCTCACAATTATTGCATGGATGCTATTTTTTGTGCCGTCTTGTAGTGATTTTGTTAAAACTGTTAAACTAAGATGAACAACTTACAGGGAAGATGATATTGAATAGATTTATTCTTAGTCTTTAGATAATTTGTGCCATAGTTAAGTAAAACATTATAGTAAAAAGTGAAGAACTGATCACTTTTGAATTCCAGTATTATTTTATTATATAATTTTAATTGTTTAAGGAAGTTTTTTGACTTAATAAAAAAAAAACATACCTAGATAAATACTCTAATGAGAACACATAAAACTATAATTTTATTATCTTTTTCTGATTTTCCCCGAACATAAAAATAAAAAAAATAGGTAAATCATATTTAAAAACTACACAGATGTTCAGCAAGTCAACGGGGTTAATGATATCAATACAAGTTAAATTAAATTATGGTGTTTAAACCTATAAATGTAGGCTTTATATATTTTTAAGGTTATCATGTGGGTTGTATAACTGAGGTTTTCTCCATCGAAGATTCTGTATTTAAAGTGATATATGAATTTAGATACAGTTTTGAACCAACTAATCTTCATTGCAAGACAGCTAACTAAATAATCCCCCATATATTCTTCTATTCTATTCATATTGATTATGATCCATTCTTTCTTAAATGTAGTTTTTTATCTACAGAAGTAAACCAATTCAGTTTCGGTATTTAGCTGTTAAGAAATATATAGTTACTATTGTAGGTACTTATCAGTAGTCAGTTAGCTTGATAAATGTTTTATTTAACTACTTACAGTATTTTATATTTTTGTAATATTTTTCAGCTTGACTAATGTTGTGAATGTTTATTTTCTCTAATATGTGTACAGTTTCTTTTTTAATAAAGTTCAAATATTTGTAAAAAGTCCTTTATTTTCCTGCTAGATTTTTTCTTCTAATCCATAACGGTTGACAAAAAATCCCTTACATTCATGATAAGGTACAGTAATGTTTTATAACACATTGTATCACAATTTCATGTAAAGCACCCATCAGGATTTTTAACACAGTGGACTTGGTAAAAACATTATTTTGGACACAATGGCCACCTATTATTGCATGAGGTCCATGTTTGGCATAATTACAGACACTATGTTTATCACAGTGGTTTAAAATATACACAGCTAAAGTATTTTGCGAGGAAATATGGTGGATCTTGAGAAAAAATCTTGATTTGCTTCAGTAAAACTCCCATATCAAACTTTAGAACCAATAACTTACCATTCCCTGTTTTCCCCATCACTTAATTCATTCATACCAGGAAATGTTTTATTTACCTTAATTTTAATATTATAAATTTCATACACCTTCTGTTTAACTCTCCTGACAGGTTTGTTTCTCAGGCACTTATTTTTAGCACCTCTGACAGTTAATTCTCGCTGCTATATGAATCTGATCAAATTTCTAGCTTTTTAAGCTCCTCTTAAAGTTGTTTTTTTTTCTTCCCTGGAAATCCATTTTCATGACATTCAAGCTCAATCATACCCTTTAAATTATCCCTGATGAATTATATATCATAAATGATGAAAAGGACCAATTCACCATTGCTCATGTTTGATCTAATTCAGTTTGCAGCCAATTGCCGTAAAAAACTGCTTATGGGCCATACAAATATTTTGATCCATACTTAATAGTAGACTCGTTTTTATTTTAAGTAAGGGCCGTTTTTGCGTATAGCTCCTTAGTGTACGTTTATGCCACAACAAGGCTTCTCGCCCCTTATCGGCATCATTGCTGTGAGCCATTTGCAGCTACACCCCAACAAAGCGTGTGTGTGTGTGTGTGTGTCAAGTTTTAGTGTTTGATTTGTAGCTTACGCGTCACTGTGTATCCATAGAATTTTGTAAGTTATTAAATCTCCCGCCGCATGCAATATAAGGTCAGTGATGCGTTTTGATTACAAGAAACGCATCCGATGTAGACATCGCTGAAGTTTGTGGCTCTGAAAATGACCATTTTGGAAGGACTTGTTTTTTTGGTTGTTATTCAAACTTATCACAGAAGTACAGTTTTTTGTAATTTTTTTGAATATTTTTTACAAAGGAAAAAAGTTTTTCAGGCCATTTGTACACTTCCTAACCCATTTCCACACTTTCCCCTCACTTATTGCATTAGGGCCATAACCTTTAGTCATCTGGTGATGAATCTCGGAATAGAGTATGTTTCTTGTGGTAAAAAAATTGATCACTGACCTTTCTCGCATGCGGTCGTAGATTCAATAATTTCACAAATTTTCTAGTGACACAAGGAAGCGTAAGCGGTGAAGAGCCTTGTTACGGCTTACACGCGAACCAAGAAGCTATAAACACAAACGGCCCTTGCATAAAAAATCACCCTTGTGGTTCAACCAATAAAGTGTATAAAATCTATTCTTCAAAAATAATTATAATTATAAAACATTTTATTTGTAGGGGTCAGAAAACAGAATTGCAGCAGAGTGTAAAAATTTAATTCAATATTTTCTCATTTATACAGATTATAGTTTTTCTGTAGGACTATTGTGTTAAATATACACCAAACAACATTTTTCTGATTAAGTATTGTATGTTTGTATTGTAAAAGTTAATGAACTAAAACAAAGAGACCCTCTTCAACATTTTGAAAAAGTTATTGATTAGTATTAGAACACCTGTCTTCAACTTCAAGTTTTCAAACTTTTATCTGAATAAATTAAAGTTTTTCTTACTGTTGAAAAAGTTTTATCTAAAAAAAGATAAATAAATAATTTAATTGTATATGAAATTAGTGATGAATTTGATATACATTAATTTACTGCCTTTTAGGCTTTACCTTTGGCATTATTAGTCTATGTGGTGTCAGTTTCAAATGGTTATTTTGAACAATTTATTTACCGTGGCATTGCTATTGGCTTTTTGCTAGTATAGATAATATATGTTTTACTTGAACTATTTTCAATTTATTCTACATACATTTTTATGAAAGCAAACAGTTTGGTTTCAGTTCTAAACTTTAAGACACACTTTACTATACAAATTAAATTTTGAAGATGTATTGTTCATTTTTAATTTGTTGGTTTAGTGTAATTTCCATTTTAAACAACAATAATAGTTTGTTACTGAAATTACAGCCTAATTAAGACTCAAAATAGCAAACAAAGATAAAGTTTACTTTGATATATGTGTTTGCTAAATCCATTGAAAGCTTTTTGTAATTTTTTTACTGTCTCTTTGGGTCTCAGGGTGTACGTTGTATAAAGTATTTATTCGCATCAAACCTCAAAATACTAATAACTTGACTTGATTGGCACCAAAAACTAAGACTAACTGTCACTAAGTTAGTCCCATCTAATTTAAATTCTAAAATATATATAAAATATATAATAACACACAAAAGATGTATACAACATCGAATAACAGGCATAGGGACTAACTCAGGGTAAAGAACACATGAACTGTGTGGCTTGACATTCTGTATCATAGCGTATCCATTCAAACACAATCTTAACAAGCAATGAAACTATTCACACAGAGAGTATTGTGATGTTTCTACAGATTCCTGAATATGAGGCATTGCAATACTAGGATGTAGATGTTCACTAATAGTAAACAATTTTGAGAGATAAAGCTAAACATTCACTTATACTTTGAAAACACCATGTTCCAAACTGTCCTAAGTTGCCGCTAAACTTATCTGGATGTCTTTGTGCTATGACAATCACCGTTCCATGATACACCCTGCCACACTGTCTGTATTTATTTACCCTAAGTCATAGAAAAATGTCTTTGTCACTGGTAAAATCTAAACCTTAAAAAAAGTTAAATCTTCAAATATAAAAGTTGTCTTTTTTGGTACCACACTGACTCTAACAGCAAGTGTCTATTTATTTGGTGCTGAAGTCGAGAATGGAAAGTGAATGTCTTTTTGGGTGAAGATAGGATGTCCGGCAGTAGAGAAGTCAGCCAAGTTGAATTTTTCTCCGATGACTGAATGTGAGATGAACTTGGGGTCAGTGCAGTTCAGACTCTTGAATGTTCGGATTGCCTTCTTAAATACCTAGGACGAACACAAACTCGTATACATTTTTTTAAGCTAACCTTATTTACTGCTAAATAAACATTGATATTTTCATCATCTTTAAGTTTCACACTTAAAGAGTTTCCACACTCAGAGAGTTCACTGAGAGTTCACACTCTTATTATCCTAGCAAGATCATTTTATATCATAATAATTAAATGTCAAATACACCTTGTTTGCTTAATTTACCTTACTATGTTATGATTGCATTTGGTTGAGTTTCAATTAATTTTATTTTAAAAAATCAATGGAAAAAACATGTGGATTATTAGCATAATTTTACATTCTAGATTGTTCCACTGATTCATAATTCAACAGACAATTGATGAGAATTACTTGGTTTTGTACATCTAGAAACAATATATTTTAATTAGGCAAAATTGTTTTAGCCACCAAGATTAGGCTACTACTCGGTGTTATTGCAATAAATCAATTAGTATGAGTGTTCTTAAGATGGTGCTGATACGAAATCATATTTCAATTTACATTATATAACCCCTCAAACAAATTTCTTACAATACAGTCAGGTAACTGAAAAGCTCAAACAGGTATCTGATCATTATCTATACAAACCTTTGAACTTTTCGCTATCCATCTCATAATGAAACTCGGGACCAGATCTGATCCTCGTATATGACCCATGACTAGAAAGTTTTCCTTATTGTACCTCTTCACCTTATCTTCACAACACGAACTTGATGGGTCTAAAGTTAACATCGGCCTTCGCAGTTTTTTACTTAATATGCCAGGTTTTACTTTTTTGAGAATCTTAACCTTCTTGCAGCTAAGTTTTGATCGGTGCACTCTTTTGAATCTGGTTCGAATAACTGAAATCAACAAACATTTGAGAATCAACACTAGTTATTAAGAGTTGACCAGAATTTGAAGAGCTGTGTGAATACGTGTATGATTGTTGCTTGAACCAGTTTTTGTACCAGGGATTTAATTTTGAAAACAATTTCCAAATGACAAAAGCAAAAACAATAGTGTATGACGAGGTTTAAGATTGAGGCATTACTGGCTTCCTCTAAAGTGGTTCAACCTATCACAATAATCAAAGCTACAAATCAAAGATCTTTGCAATGAGTTGTTGATACATAACTATAAATACACAATTCCTTGACTCAGCAACACTATTTAAGACAATCTCACACTAAAGTGAATTATATTGAACAACACTTCCGTTATCCAACAAACTATTAATTAAACTTACCAAAATCAGACGTACAAAAGTTATCCAGAATATTTTCATATGTTTCAACAGGATCACATATTTTGCAGAGACTACCTGTAAAATGTCCTTTTGATTACTAGAAATCATATTTCCCAACTATATTACCCAGATTTCCCAACTATATTAATCAGATTTCCCAAATATATTACTCAGACTTCCCAAGTAATGTAAATTAATTGTTAACAGTAACAAGTATATTTTAGTTTTAAAACCTCTTGGTACATACACAAATAACAAGAAATAAAGGTCAAAAGAAATCTCACACGTTAGGTTTACTGTCACTATGCTTTACTGATTTATAAGATAGCAGCCTCTTAAATAATTTTTTTTAGTCAAGAAAAAATTGTCAAGAGTTTTAAAACATATCAAACCAGTTGGTTGCCCTTGTACTGACAACAAAATTGATGATTTGAATACACAATTTAAAATCATCAATTTTTTGATGATTTGATGTCCAGTAACAATTTAAAGCAAAGTAAAAAAAAACACTTGTGTATACGACTGAGCAAGCCCAGCTAAGAAATTATATTTCCCTTGGGCGACGCCCCTGCTGCTATGGATCAGCAGAAGGGACTAGTAAGGTATGCTGACATGTATATGTAGATTACCTTCTGATATTTACTGTTTATTTCTGTTATTTCCCGACTGTCAAGCTATTTTAGCCTAATAAAACTGTCTACCACTTAATACTTATAACCTAGTGTTTATACTCTATAATGAATGCCACCAGAGTTTCACAAGCTATACAATTTTCCTTTAAATAGCGGAGATATATTTCACCATAAATTTGTTGCCGGAAATTCAACATACGTCAACAATAACTTTCTTCATATTTGATAATAGGATAAAGTGTCTACTTATAAGTAGTAGAATTTTATGAGAACTACGCACCGCGCCCTCTACAAGTCAACAAAACCCGCTCAACAGAAGTGTTATGCATTTAACCAAACGTATCTTGTAGGCGTACTCAACTCCGTCTGCTTCCGCCCGATGGTCTGTGCGCGCAACCGTTAAAAATTTATTTGTTTACGTACATCTATCTACGGATACTGTAATCAAATACTAGGCAAGTTTACTAAAGTTTTGATTTAATTTGTTATTGTAGCCAGTGTTTTGTTAACATTTTAATATTTTTAAGGTTTTGACTTGTTTGTAAATCGTAAATGTATACAAAGTAATAATAGTTTTTCTTTTATAACATCGGACCGCAACAAACTACGATTAAGTGTGGATTTATTTTAAAGTAAAACCACCAGTGACCTAGTAATTTGGTATTAATATACTATGAATATATAACTTTAGTTTTATAATAATTTCAACGTGTAAAAGATGGGAAATCTTCAAATCTAGTATTTGTGCAATAAAAACAACTATTCTCAACATAATAGAGCTAGTTGTTTTCAATAAACAATCTTTTGACTGACCACCTTTTTAGAGCTAAGATTAATGTAGTTAGTTAGCAATTTCACTTGAAAGCGGGATGAATTGATCCGTTTTAAGTTATCTACAGAGTGTTTCATTGTCATGAACTTTGTACTTAGTTTTAACGACAATAAAACATTTAATTTCATTTCACAAAGAGGTTGCTGTTTTGAATTAATATTCCACACGTATCGCAAACTTGAAACTCTACAGTTAAAATAAAAATGTATGTTAAAAATATCCCCGAATATAATTTTATTCCGACTTTTGGAACTAAATAGCAGAGCAACAAGATAACAACAAAATTATAAAACACAAATTGCTAGCGTGGTTTAAAAATTGCAAAGCGATTTCTATCAGTTTCTATAAAGGATTTCTAGATTCAATTTAGTTTTTTCTATGATTTACCACTATCCTATCTCTTTGATGTGTTAATTTCATTCACTTAAGTAATATTGTAAATAATAATGAATTGATAGAAATGGTTTGTAAATAAAATTACTTTAACAAAAACGCAAGATTAGTCATCCTCTTGTTGGCCATTTTGTTCTGATTAGACAGAATACCTGGCCTCGGGAGTAGGTTTTTCACATATTTATTTGTTATAAATGTAGAGTTTTAAGTGTTTAGTGTGGTCAGTGGGTATATACTGCTTTGGTACATACATATATACTTATGGTATATCGATTTAAAATAGCAGCCTCTTCGCGAGACACCATAAAGTACATAATTTTAAGCAACTCGTCACAATTATCTATCTTAATTCAAATTAATGTACAGGCGATTTGATAGCTGAACCAATGTAATATTTGATTGTTGAATTTGAGTTGAGATGTATGGAAAAACAACAACAAACCAGGAAAATCCAGAACGTTTTTGTGATAATCAGCATCTTGCGTAGAACAGAATTGATTCATTCAGCACAAATTGACACAGCATAGTTGTATCCGTGCATTCAGTTTTTGACTATGTTATGACGTATTGCTAAACCTTATCCCCATGTGCACTATACGGTACAACCACTGACTAGTCAATGGTACAACATACACGGTACACATGAACAACAGGATCCATTGAACAGTTAAAGGGGTCCAAGAAATCTCAAGAACTAAAGTATCGTCCTTAATGGTTGAAACATGATATTACTTCGGAGACTTGGCAGTTTTACATTGTGAGCGTTCAGGCACATACTCAGTAGTACTGCAGACCCGACTCTAGCAAGTGTTGATGTTGAGGAGGCTTTATGTCACGTCACTTGCCCGTACGTGTCCCAGGCTCCAGGCTTACTGTTACACGTATTGTATCCTATTTCTAGACTAAACATGCAAACCTAGAGAAACCTAAGAGAGTGTGACACGATCACTTCGCCAACAATGCGTGGGTGTGGCGCAGCTGGCAAGCCGCTAGACACATCCATTTGAGTACAAGAAGTATGATGACAAAAAAATATTTGAATTGACACCCTTCAATTAAATAGAGTTCGCATACGGTAGTATAAAATCATATCAGAATTATTCTGGTTCTGGAAGAGTTAAGTTCGCAAACGCAGTGATTTGAAATTTATACGGGGAAAGGATTGGCGATTCAGATGTACATGCGGGGTCAATAATGTTACATTATGTCATATACAGTATATACGAAAAATAGACTACAAAAGTGAAGAACTCGCAGTGCTTGGATCACGAATTAAGGCAGAGTTCAATAAAACAATCTGGTTTGTGCCATGTACATGTGAATGATGTTTTGTATTCTGTGGCAATATTTAGGAATTGTACATTCACTTGGTGATGCTCCGGTTGTTCGAGCTACGCAATTGAATTCCTCATTTTCTATTTTAAGATTTTTAAGTTAGGCGTAAGGCAAAGAGTCTCGCCTATTTTCCGTATTTTGCGAACTTCTCGCGGCGATACGAACAATACCGTGTTATATAATGACCAATTAAACGGACAGGAGTTAATCGACAAAGTAGCTTGGAACCGGGTGAAAACCGGATCACAATGACATGCGATTGTCAGACTCGTAAGATAACATTCAAACCCGGTCTCCGTTGCAATGTGTTTTTGTCAGATAACACGGTCCAGAATGCAGATGAGGTGCTTCGAATCAAAACAACTATAGAGTAAGAGTTTTTAGAAGGGATAGTAGCATGTCGTCTCGGGCGAATTAAATATTTCAATCTCGTGTAAAATGAGAGTAAAATGAGCAAAAGGAGTAGCAAACAATGCACGAGTGACCAAAACGAGGTTTCGAACAAAAGATCGGACAGGCTACTTGTCTGTTATCTGGCGGGGATCGGAGTATTGCAGTCCAGCATTGTTTGCGTTGAATATATTATTGCCATATTACCATACAGAGCTCTGCTCTGAGGGTGCGTTCACAAAGAAAGCTGGTTACAAGTAACTTACTTTCAGCGCTTGTTCCAAGCGCTTGAGAATGCTGTTGTGTGTTCACAACAAACGCTTGCATTTCAAGCTCAGGAGTGTAGTCTCAGCTCTGGTTGAGACAATATCTTCCTCAAGTGATGAAGAGCTATTTTTGATTCAAAATGTAGAATAAAAAATTTGGAGAAGGAAAGTAGGTGTTCATGCAATTAACCGCGGAAGAGGTAGGTTCGGGGAATACCACCATCTACAAAGTGAGGTTTTTTTTCTAATATGAGAATGGAGTTAACCACGTTTAATACAGTACATCCTCAAGAAAATTGAAAGTGTTTTAGTGAAGTTTTGGGGGAATTGGCATAAGCAACCTATCCGGCGATGCACCAAAAAGAATTTTGGACCAATAATAAAATCTAAAAAATACTCGAAGGGAGTTTTAAACACCCTATGTAGCTGATTAATTATGATCCAAATAATATTGTGAGATGATTAAAATGTTTTAATTTTCTAGGTAAATAAAGTAAAAGTATACAAGTTTCATCAAAAACATATCACCCAACACTTAATTAATATTGAATTAAACGTGTTTGTGTATCATCTTAATACATGTTATATTTGTCCTATTGGTTACGTTATTGAACCTCCTAGGGAAAACCACAATACGTGGGTAGCCTAATATATTTGTTTGGAAATTGGAAGCTCTAAATACTAGAGCTATCAACTCATCGACATCCATACTGCACTAGTGCACTGTGGAGTAGTTTGTAACTGACTGGTTCGGCCAACAAGCGCCGGAAAACAAGTACGAAACGTTCTTGCGTTCTTGTCAGAGCTTGTAACAAGCGCTTGCTAGCCGGCACAAGCTTTGTCTGTGAACACACACGCTTGATACTATGTTAACTTTTCTCACGCCGGTTCGAGAATGCAAGCGCTTGCCAACAAGCGCTTGTAACCAGCTTTCTTTGTGAACGCACCCTGAGACTAGAACCAGTGGCCCTGCGGCCCTGCACCTACTGACTGTCCCAATGTGACTGTCCCACACATGTTCTTTGTAATCACTATATATCGGAGTAGATACTGTATTCCAACATTAAATTTGGACCCACATTCCATTTCTCATTGTACTTCAATTAATAATATTAATATTGATCAATATTAATTGATATTGATTAATAATTTAATAATGCTGTCTAAGAAGACGAATATTAATACCGTATTCTACGAGTACGTTCCAAAAGTACTTGTTAGTTGTTA